ATTTCTTTCTTTTTACCCCAAATAAATAGTCCTTGGTACGGACCCATTTTTATCAAATCATTAACATCCGCCTGAAACTTCGTGAATAGCTTCATCTCATTGTAATCTACAACTATTTTATTTACGAAAACTCTTGGAATTGGGGCGATTTCAATCTGGACATCAGCAAACTTCGTATATTTAATAAAATACTAAAAACTCGTAAATACCCATTTTTTCACACTTGAATCGCAAGATAATTTGACTATATAACTTCATTATTTTGACATTTTGGGAATGTAGGTCATACCAAACGGTTCAATATTTTCGAAGACCGCATTTTTTCTCAGTTTTGTCCTCAAATTATCTTAAGATTCAAAGGAAAAGCCGAGTTATTAGTACGTATTTAAATTGACAAAGCTTGCCGATCTTTAGATTGTATATTATTCCAAGAATTTTCGTAAATAAAATAATTGTAGGTCACGATGAGATGAAGCTATTTAAGAAGTTTCAGGCGGATGTTAATAATTTGATAAAGAGGTGTCTGTACCACGTACTAAAGTATAAATATTAATATTAAAAATGTAAATATTTTTCATTTACAAATTAGTCAAAACATGACGTTTTTATTTTGGCTTTGTTCATGGCCAACAGCCTATTTATAATGACCTAATGATAAATGATTTAAGGCCGTTCAGGAGATTTTATGCAATTTTTTGTGATTAAGTAGTTTTTTATTTTTTGTTTTCAGAAAAAAAAATCTATAAAATAACGCGAAAGAATTTTTTTGCCATGTGAATAAAAATATATTCAAATAAACTTCATGACCTACCTTTAGAATTTGTTTCACAACTATTCGATTCTTATGAACTCTCTGAACATACCCTCATTAGATAGCGAGTAGGTAATAGAAGAAATCCTACAGAAAATATAATATAAGTTTTCTTTCGGTTAGATTAAGAGAATTATCTGTATAATATTTCCTTATGAAGTAGAATTTCCTAAAGACAGCAGTTTGCTTACGGTTCGTCTTGAATTTTTTGAAATAAATAAGTGACAAATCGAATGAGGAATGCGGATCCATTGCAGGATATTTCTTACTGTACACTGTTTTCCAGTGCTGCTTATTTTGCTTCGGGATACTTTGCTTAGGGCTAGCTGATTCAAAAGTCAAAAAATTCGCTGCTTCACCTCGGTCATGGAATAACTTTTCAACTTGCTTTTACCAAAAGAATATAAAATCTGTTTGATCCATTCACACCTCAGTAAAAACTCTCGATATACTTCCTTATATAATCGTGCAATATTTTATTTAAGTCCCCAGTCCATTTCAAGTTACACTCCATGTAACAGTGTTGGCGGGTGTAAAAATGAATAGTGATTTGAAGTCAGGTATGAAGGAACTTGAAATGAAATAACTCCATTACGAGATTTACGGGGGGGGGGAATGTACTTTACCCATAAAATGTTTTCGAAAATATGACTTGAAAAACTACTTCTTTATGGAATGGTATTAAGTTTAAGTGATGCTTAGATGATAAAGATAATCTCGTCTTTTGTGGAAATCTGCTGAGTGAGACATTAAAATTTATTGTTGAATAATCAAAACTAAAATTAAAATGAGAATAGTTGATAAGCTAGAAATTATCTGAATATTGCGTTATCAAAAAAGTTTCGATAACCTGTTTCCCTCTAGGGTCACGTGATGAGATATTAGGAATGAGGATATTAAGAGAGGATTAATATTGTTGATCCTCATTCATTGAAATTAACGATTGCGTATTTTACCGTGTGATCGATCTCTTTGCTGAATATGAAATACTTATCATATGAAAATAAAATAATTATAAGCAGTAATCGGAAAACATTTTTTAATTGACGTATATACTGATATTCCGTTTTGTTCAAAGCTCTGAAACTGGGATAGATCTGGAAATTGTCGTTAGAGGAGAAGACAAAAAAAAATCTATATTTTATTTAACTTTCAAATTTGTCGGAGTTAAGGCCAATGCGGAAGACTTGAATCCTACTGTTTTTGTAGGGAAATCAAATCGTCATCACCATGTTGAAGTAATGAACCTATCCAACGTTTCACATTCGTTACATTAACATGGTGCCGTTATGTCTGTCAAAAAAAAAAAGTTAAGTAAGTTATTCGGAGAAATATAGAATTTAATCCGGAACAATATAGATTTTAACTTTGCAATATGGAGGGAGAGGTTATAAAACTATACTATATCAGAATGTCTCAATCTGGTTGTCGCAAGCACTTATCAGGGATGCCACGGTAATAATACACAATTTTAGTGTGTTTATTGAATATATCTAGCAGATTTTATTGTTATTTAAAAAAAATTTATTATCAATTATAGATATGTAATTAATTGTTATAATATCTATTTCTCATAAAAAAATCGATTTTTCCTTTGATTATATTTTAATTGAGAAAGTAAGACTTTAGTCAGGGAATACATTTTTTTAAATTAGATTATCAAATATTACAACTTGACATATTTGTAAGCTCCTATAATAGCTGCTACAGCAAGAGTTCGATGTGTTTCGGCGATAAATATTCTTATTGGCGGCGATATAGCGATATGGTTGTATTACTATATATTGCATTATAGCAGACACACAGAGCGCGATAATCCGCAACGATATCGACAAGGGGTATCGTATCGCGTTCTATTTGTAGGGGCCGTTAAGAGCAATAAGCAACAGCGATATACGTATTTATGAATTCATACTGCGGTTGTTCTTTAAAAAAAAAAACAATAATTAAATATGGAATAGAAAAATAAATTAATAAACAAAATTTAAAAAAATATAATAAAATAAAACATCATACACTGATATTGGCAAAATAAAAGAGAAAAATATCAGTATATATATATATATATATATATCGGTAATAACTCGAGAAGAGAAAAACACTAACTACCTAAATAAAGTGAGTGGTGTTCAAGTGATTTTTGGTGTCTTATTAAAAATGTAATTACACGAACAATGACTCTTTTAGAAATTATTTTTTATATTTTTTTCAAAATAGATTATATTTAGTAACTGTATACGCATTTTAATTTAAAAAATAAAACATATTGTGATTGTTTAAGAATTTAGTTAAGTAACAAATATGGACCATTGAAAAAAAAAAATTCATTTTGGGGGACTTCAGTCCCATGGCCTCCCTTTTCTCTCCAGTTGATTCGTCAGTGAACACGACTAAAAAGAAAAAGTAACTGCCATACTTTAAAAAGAAATTAATCAACAGGACTGGGAAAACATCAGGTAGATCCAAACAAATGATTTTTTATAACAATTAAAACTGAAGTAACATATTTTCGAACAGAAAAGATCATATTGGAACGAAACGCGGGATGATGAACACCTGTTTGGAATACTAGCGAACAGTACGGATGATCGTAATTGTTTTAATAAAATCACACTTAGTTTTAACATAAGTGTTCTTCTTTTTATTTTCGCCCTCTTTAACCGTCAGGTGTAAAGGTTAAGAGTTATTAATTGTTACATATAAAATGGCCTCGATAAGAGAAATGGTAGTGTCCTTGAAGTCGTGTGCAAAACGTTTATCCTCTATTAGGTAACTACTTAAACAATTATGTAGTTTCATTTGATAAGAAAACACAATGAAACATTATTTTTTAAGCGTTCCCACCTCTTAATTAACAAAATCTTATACATTTTTTAATAAAATTAAAACTAAAAGGTGATTTATTATCCATTGTAACATGAAGCTAAATGTTGATTTATTTAGAAAGCAATTTAATCACTTCCATTTTATAGTAATATCGTATTTAATGCTTCATCCCAATAGCCTAAGGTTGTGTTTATATTTGAGCTACTATAACCAGTAAGAACGTATTTTCGAAAACAGCTTATAACAGGAAAGTAGTGAGTTAGTTATTCATGATTTGATGACTACAATAAAAGAAAAAATAAATAAACTCCAATTCCATGCTAGTATTCATGTGTAATAAAATAATAACAGCTACTGCAAGGGGCGCCCAGAAAAGGGTTTCATGGCGCAAGTTGCACCATCAAAATTTGTGAGGGAGGCATATTTTGACGGGTTTTTTGAATTTTGGAGGGGAACGAATTTCTACCGGGTTATGAATTATTGGACAAAGGGGCAAGGGGAAAACTTTGAACAGGCCGCAGCAAGTAGTAACTGTATATGATCTACGATTTTTATAATTCTACCTTAGCTTGCTCTGTTTTTAAGAAATGTGAGCAATAAAATACCTTGGGAGGATGGGGAGGGGGGTAGGTTTTTGCTCCATCGTCCTTGGGAAGATGCATTATCACAGTCACACTGAACGTGATATTTTCCTAGGGGCCATGTAAAAAAATCACAGATCTCTTTCTGCGTGTCTGAGTCTAAAATGTTAGCTTTTAATTGCTAAGCTCTTAAAAACCTAAGTATAAACAGTTACATTGAAGTTGAAGCAGACATTTTTATTTCAATGTTTTATTTTATATTTATGTTTCTTCATTTGCAATTTTAAGTTCTCCTGAGCCAAAACAAAATGTTCTATTTTTGCTTTTATTCCCTATATTGCCTTAAATTGATTACTGATTACTTTAAAAAAACTTGAGAAGGATGTAGCGTTTGGCCCTTTGATAGGGCAGAATCTTTAAATCGATATGAAATGTGGCACCATACCTCATTGGCTAATTTCTTACAAATTTCCTCTCCTCACAAACAAAATTTGCTTATAACTGAAACATTGAAATGATACTTACATTCAAGAACTTTTTCAGAAAAATGAAATCTTTTTAGTATTTAAGTACGTATTTCACAACAGAGAAAGTATTATATTTACACTTAAATTGGTCTTTGGAGTTATGAAGACTGATAGTTGAAGAAGTACCTGCAAGCACTAATAAATAAATATTCCTTAAATGTTTTAGTTTGATTTTTCCATACAATTGAAGTGACAAAAAACATGAATATTCTATTTAGAAAATATCATTACTAATTAATATTCTATTGATTTCAGATAGCCTCGGCTTGCATCGAGTAGAAAATCCGAGCTCAAGTGATGTAGCTGTCAGTTTGCACCTGTATTGTCCGCCATTTGGTGAATGCTCTGTTTTCAACCAGCAAACTGGAAAGAGAACAGTGTGCAAAGTAACTTTCTGGTCCAAGTATGGGAAAAGACCAGACAGGGTAAGCATTGTATTATTCTTGTTATTGACCTATTTAATTTAAAATTTTAAACATTGAGGACAAAATTGCAAGTTTTTTTTTTTTGTTATATATCAGATTGCTGGGCAAAGGGTGTGCTGTGCACGCGCGTTAGCCCATTCGGCCACCCAGCCCACTAAAAAATTAAAACTTAGGTATAATCCATTTATTTTCTCCTTATATGAGGAAATAAATTCGAAGGCATAGTTGGCATAACATACGAACTCTTCTACGAAAGATACCTTAGATAAAATGTAATGCATTCTGTAGGTATTTTGTTAGGAATCGTAGAATTAAGTAATATAAAGTAATCAAAACATCATTAGTTATATATTTGTTTGTTTTTCGTTTGGCTCCACTACCCTAGTAGATCTTTAGCTGCCTCTTCCACTTCTGCCTTTTCTGCCAGAAAAGGCAGCCACGCCAGGTGTTCTCAATAGTTAACAGTTTTTCTTTAAGGAATCATCTTTTTCTGTTCTGGTAGTTTTGGCTTGCCAAAGGGCTTTCACTTTTCTTCTTTCCTCTTCCACGTTTTTACATACTTCCTTGAACCACTTCTTGGCCATTCTTTTCTCCTGAATCCCTATAACTCACCTAGCTGTTTCTTTTTAGCCACCCCTCTAGTGCCTCCCAGTCAACCTTAAGGTCCTCCTAGTCCATGGGTTCGAATATTTTATTAACGGCAACATTTTATTAAAATTTTTTTGTCCTTTACCTCTTCATTATAACTACCATAATTATCAGTGATTTTATCTGAATTCTTGTATCATTTTTCAGAAACATCAAGAAGAAAGACCTCCAGAAGACAATTAAATTAAATTTATATATATATATATATATATATTTACAATATTTCCTATATATCATTTTAATAAGACGAATATAATGTTAGACAAATATTTTATTATAATATATTATGTATATAAAATTTGAGATCTGTGATTTTAAATATTTTTAAATTCTTAGTTGAATGATTAAGAATAATTGTTATGATTGTTTTGTTTTTCATTTTAATACTTTAAGCAATGTAATTATATCCTTGGTATCAATTAACCTTGGTTGTAATAAATAAGTGAATTGACAATTAAAAGATTTTTATTAGCTTTTAGACATTTATGGCTGATTTAATGACATTCCTACAATAAATATTTCTAACATAGCATTTTATTTAATGCCCCAATTTTCTTCATGTGCATTTAAAATCAACATCAATATGATTCCTTACATACAATTTTTTTATTTACATTATTATTTAAAGTGTAATTACATTTACATATTTTTTTAATTACATACAATAACTCGCTCCTGTGTTTAGTTTCTTGCACCAACTTAATATCCAAAATATTCATGATGGTCTCTCAAATCTTCTATTTTGGGGCGGAACTAGTTTTCCAGGGCATAAAACGAGCTTAATTTTTCTATCCTTTCTTTCATCCTTTCCACTTTATATAGTCTTATTTTTCACCCCTTGCCTAATGGTCAAGTTTAAGAAAATATATACTTGTCATTTATAGTGCTTGTTTTCTTAAATTTTAAGAAAAAATAAAAGTATTATGAAATAATTCATCATTTTATTGGCTAAATTAAAGTCAAAGCAATCAGAAACAAATATTTCTCAATTAACTTAAAAACAATTTTATTTTAAATTTGCTGCCTGAGACGCCAACTACTATATCCAGCCCTATGTCTGTAACACTATCTTAGAGCCTGAGGAGGCATTTCTATTTATTTAAATTGAAATAGCTGGGTCTGGTATACTTGGATATTTCGGCACAGGATCCTGGCAATATGTCCAAACCATCAATGATGTGATTGCAAGGATATGTTTTTTTTTTTTAATTCTATGAATTATAACTTTAAAGGTTTATGGGAAATTCTTTAGAAAAGTGGTACAAATCATCCACTTACTTTTGCCGTCGTATATGCCTCTGAACTATAAAATCAAGCTACATATCAAGTCTTGATGAGAAAACTGTACTCAGATTAGTTGATTTCTTACATAGTTGATACAGTCTAAAATAGTATACATAAAAAAGAAACAATATATCTTCAGATACTAAAATGGCATGACAACAATATTTCTCTTGGTTTTCACTTTAGGGATATTTGGTTCTTTGAAGATTCTAATTAAATGAACATTTTTCTGAAGCTATACCAGACAAAAACCTTTCCATTTTTGTTTCTATGAATTATCTAAACCAAACACCTAAACAAGTGCAGTATGTTACCTTTTTAAATCATAACTAAGTAACATAAAAATTAATTTTATATATAAAAAAGATCTTAAAGCATTTATAAAAAAATACAACCAATCATATTTATAAGTATAAAGATTGTGGGACACAAAAAACATTGTTTACTCCCATAAATTGGGATAACAAGCTAAGCTATACCGTTAAAAAAAAAAATAGAATTTTAAAAATTAACATTACCCAATAACAAGAAATTTTTATTATATTTCTTGAAAATATCGTTTCAGAATTCAACGAAAAATTCGAGATATTTTATACAGAATAATGTCTGATTTTTCATATCAAAAAAATTGATAACAATTTAATTTTTCTTACTGTTCTCATTATTTTATTAAAAATAAATAGAAAAAATAGTCAATATTACGCAAAGATTAACAATGAGAATGAAGGAGACCTTATCATTTTTTTTTCAAGAATATAAACTTACTACATATACATATTTTTTTCCCCCCCTCCAATTCTAAGAGCATTGCCCAACAATAATTCATCCTTGCAGGCTAAAATGAATGGAAACATCTAAGCTAACATTTTCGCTCTACTAAAAGCACTTGTGGCTCAAGATAGACTGAATAAAATGGTTCATATTTGGCAAACAAGATAAAGGCAAATGGTATGACATCCAGTGTATAAGGGAGATGTTCTATCACAGTGACACAAAATGGCGATTCTGATACATTAATTAAGAAAAAAATTTGCTGTAACTTAGCAGGCAGCAGCTAACTCAAATAAGTAATTTTGTGTCACATATTTTTATTTTTAAGCTATGCTATTCACATACACACACAGACCATTTTATTCGTTGGTTATTTACTAAGTGGACCTTAAAACATGCATTTCCATTGTTTGAAATAGTACACGATTCCAACATTTTCTCTTACTATATATTTCATAAATAGGTAAGTAAAAGTTAAAATAAATAATATAACAAAATATTACCAAAATTATCTGAAATTTATTAAAACAATTACTTCTTTTTTTTTTATAACAATTATATGTTTATTGAAGAAAGTTAATCGACTGTTCTACATATCATGGTTGATAAATATTTAGGACGGTCATTTTTAGTAGTGGCGACGTTTCAACCCAAACATGTGGGTCATCATCAGGGCATGTTACGAGCTATTTAAGTACTGAATGTATGCAATGAATACCTTCAGTGCTCGAAACACACCCTGAAGAAGACCCACATGTTTATGTTGAAAAATTGGCACTAATAAAAACGTTAAAAATGACTGCATCCTGAATATTTATCACCCAATTATATGTTTATATTTTTACCTGAGCTGAGGATTGTAGTATCGTCAGCAAAAGTAGTCAATAATAGAGTGTCATTGTGTTGAATTAGGTTTGACATATATATATTAAACAATACAGACCCAAGGACACTATCCTGAGGTACTCCTGCTTTTATAGACAATGTCAGAACATTCTGTCCATACTTTTACTACAAAATGTCAATCTATCCAAATGTCCTAAGGAAGTCAAATTTTAAGTTTGGAAAGCAATCCTTCATACAAACTTTGTCAATAGCGACTGATTACACTGAATTAAGTGTAATAATTTTAGTGTGCAGCCAGAAAAAAATGTGTTTGTTGTCTCACTTACACTAAAGGGAACATGGACTGGTTGAACAATGAAACATTGGTTTACATGAAGACAATATAAAAATATTTATAAAGGTAAAACTGAGCACTGAAAGAAAATTGGCTCTTTTCTATCATTACCCAGTCTGCATTGAATATGACATATTAAGCATACAAATGTCATAAAAACAGAAAATGTATTTATTTTTATACATAACAGAATATAACTTAATCAGGATTTTTTTTAAAACAGTAATATATGTTGATGCTGTACAAAACTGAAACTTTTCTTCAGGACAATACTTGCGAAACATTGACAAGCATACATAGGAATATAAGGTATATCTCTTAATAGTTACAATTTTTAAATATACTAAAATATCATTAAATAACTTAATGAAGAAACAATGATGTTTCTTCTAGTTTTTTATTTATATACATAAAAAAAAGTATTTTAACAGGACGATTTTCAATTCACCTAATTCAATAAACACTTCTACCAGCAAATATATAAAAATGTACACTATAGTTTTTAATAACCACTTTACCTTCATTTTATTATATAAAGGACTATTATATCAAATTAAAACTTTGCCATCACACAAAATTTAATTTAAACTAAATTACATCATAAAAACGTCATTTAATACAAATATACAAATATTCAGTTCCTTCATATTTTAAATTATCCTAATTCCATTAATATTTTTAGCAAATAATAACAATACATAGTTGTAAACGCAATTGATTTAATAATGAATAAAACCATTTAGAAGTAATAAATTATATTTGTTTAATGGTTCATTTCCATGTAAAAGAAATAAAAAATCATTGCTTATTAGAAAACATATTAGTTTATAGCTATTAACATTTTAAACTTGAAAATATTCCAACAATAATTGGATAGTATTAAATAATAATACAAAAAGTATTTGAGATTGAGAGATATTTTAAAATACAGAATGTTGAGGGATTTATTCCTAGCCTAAGGCAGGCTTCAGGCACCATTTATAAAACATTTAACAAAAATATATAAAATTAGTAACAATAAACATTCAAAATTTAATATTTAAAAAATGGGGCAATAGGTTATAAAATATTATTATAAATGGAAATAAATTTTAGACAAAGCAAAAATTTACTGTTACAAAAAAAACTAAGGTATATTCAAAGCTGTATTATATAACTTAAATTTCAAAGTATTCCAACATCATCATATAACTGTCTGTTTTATGCATATTACAGAGTTTTTATAATTACAAGATGTTTATATTTTTGAAAAAAAAATAATAAAAATTATATTTTCAAGATTTTAACTAACATGGAAATGTCCCTTATTTTATTGGTTTGATTTAATTACTATATTTAATTAAAATAACTAACCTGAAACTCATAATTAATAATGCAGAAACATTTATGATACATGTAAAATGTAGAGAGAGTATAAATAAAAAAATATCCGAGGCCTAATGAAAAACTAGTCGTTAAATAAAATTAAAAATGAGTTCATGATATTAATTTTTAAGCCAAATAAATAATATGTTCCAATTTAATACTGAGAAATGGAAGAAAAAAAATACTAACATAAGAATCGATTTAAAAAAGGAAATATAAGAGAATTGGAGGGAAATTTGAGAAATGTTTACTCACTGATTAATAAAGATATACTCAACTAGCTTTTCATTTCCACCACAGGTAGACATATTCACATGGCTAAGTTATCTTATAAACTTATAAATGCAAGTTTATAATAAAAATATACATACAGTAGCGAGATATATTTAGTACATTTGACATATAAGGTGATATGCATATTTTAACAACTAATATAGATAAGATATTATTTTCTAAACCATTGGAAACAACTTTTATTATGGATCTGAAAATCCCATAATTAATTACTCATGTCTTCATACACTTACAATAAGTCAGTCACTAACAATAATCAAATTTGAGGCACATTTCCACATGAACATGGTTCTTTTATTGCACTCCATGTATAAAATAACTTCCAAATAATCAATACAACGTTAGATAAATATATCTATGAATAAATATCACAACTTAGGATAATGTTAACAGAAGATAACTAATTTCTTGAAGAAAAAGATAAGCAGGTTCTTTTTTTGTAAATGGAAGGATTTAAGTGTATCTTAAAAGTGGGGCTCCAGCTGGGAGTCGTAAATTCTCTTGTCAGAATTTAAGTTCTTTGATTGCTTGAGGCAAATCTGGGAGTTTCATGTCCTTGAACCCAGCAGGAATGTTTATATTTTTCACAGCACTGACAGCACGTGCTGCGGCTAATCCACTCTGAAAAAGAAAATTTAATAAATTAAATTAAACTAAAATTTACAAGTACACTGATGTATTGTAATTGTTTTAGTCAACGCTATAACTGGAGATAAAAACATCAGACTAGCTTTAAGTTCTCAAGATGGGTTTATATATTTTGTAAATACACAATACTCGTAAACAAAAACCCCACAAACAAGAGTATTCCGACTAATGTTGCAGAGAAATATTTTGGGTTAAACTATTTATTTTAAAAGGAAAAAAAAAATCAAAAACAATTTCGGATAATAAATAAAGATAATATAAATATATATAACATAAATTTTCAGTTTTTGTTCTTTGGTGAAGATTAGGTTTTATCAATAAAAATGTAAAAAATTCCAATTTTTTTTTCATTCATATTTTCAAAGATAATTTGCAAGCATGACAGAAAAGTGATTGGAATAGGGCTGCCATGCGAGCCTGTCTCTAGCTTGGAACAATGTTTCCAGCTTCAAAATCTCTATCCAAGAAACATTTTCTGTTTAATTCTTACACCTTGTCACCTCTGAGCATAAATATTTAGTTTAAAATGTATTTTATTAGCTTTTATAAATAAATAAAATAAGGTAGGTGTAACAGTATAAAGATGGCATGCAAAATATGTAGTTTCACCTTTCTTTAATATAATATATATTTATTTCATTAACATTTAAATTATACTATTAATTAGATGAATCTAATTGAATAAAATAAAACTCAAATCTTTTCAAAATTATAAAAACAAAATTCCAAAACTTTTTTTATGGCCTATTTGCTATTCTGCAGCTACAAATTAAAAAAATAACAGAAAATATAGTTACTTAAAACCTTTTAATGATAATTCGATTCTTTCTAGAAAATTAAAATATTGCTTAGTTCTGAAATACAGCCTAAGCATGCAAGTTTCTTAAAAACTGTATTCGATACTTAAAAACATTGCAATTTGTTTTTGTTTTTTGTGATACTAAAAAGGTATCATTTTTATTTTTGAGAATATTACATACACAAAATTTCAATACGCTTTCATATATGCTGCTCAAAAATGATTAGGGATATTGTTAGCTATGTGGAATTTATTTTCCCTAAAATTTTTATATTATTTTCATTTTAAAATGCATTGAAAATGAATACAAATACAACTGTATAAAATTAGTGGGCGGGGTGGCCGAATGAGTGTGCACAGCTCAATCAAATGATATCAAAATAGTTACGAGTTCGCGTCCCGGTGCCAAGGCACTTTTAAATCTCCGCCCACACCTCCTGGTCCGGGAAAACCCAGTATAACCTTAACGGCAAGGAAAGGGAGGACCAAAAAAAAAAACTATAAAATTGAGTAAAAGCTATTTTTTAAAAATAACAGGTTTTTGTGATCTTGATTGTATAATTGCGAATTATAAGAATTTTGTAAAACTTAATAATTTGTGTAATATCCCCTGTTATGTACTACCTCTCTGAACCTTTTTGCATATCACTTATAACATCACTGATTTCGCAAGGAATTTCATTCCAACAAGTGGTAAATACTGCTCTCATCTCATGTGCTGGAGGTTAAGAGGCTGAGGGTTGTGGTCAAAAAGCACTCCCTGCAGTGCATCCTACATCAAATACTCAATGATGTGTATACTATTCATATTTGAGTAGTATATTTGGTACTTGTTTGATAGCTGGACTGGACGGACTGCTATTTGCCAATGTTTATAACCTGAACACTGATAATTCCGATAAGGCATTGATAAGCCTTCCCGTAATTCCTATCTTCGTATTCATATATATTGTATTATATTCGTATTATTGAAATTGTAAACAAAAACCAAATATAATAATAAAAAAATACATTTATTTTACGACATATATATTAAATTAATATATATATCTGATACATATACATACAAATATATATATTATATATATATATATATATATATATATATATATATATATATATAATATATATATATATATATATATATATATATATATATAAGTGCCATGACAGCATCTCCATTTCCCGTCCCTGTCTAACTTCATTTGATGACCTTGTTCACACAATACAAATATCTTTCATCTTTGCAATTATCCCAACGTTTTGAAAATATTCAAGAGCCTGTTCTTCTGAAGACGGTAATCCCCAGAATGTAACAAGATCCATATATTTGATAAAAATAACAAAATGGGCAAAAAATAAAGAATTTAATAACTGAATGTAATAAGTGAATAACTGAAAAATAAACAATGTCATAACTGAAAGGTTTGGCGAGATAAGAAGAGGGAGTTTATGTGACGTAACGTTAGATAACATAGATAACAAGGGAGGTTTCGTCCCGTCCGGCTAATGGACAAGTAGCGTATATTTTATTAACTTATGCATTAAGTTGATTTCACTTTTTTCCTTAACTTCCAATTATTTATGCTTAATTTAAAATAAAAATGAGATTCTATGTTATGAATGATTTACAGAGAATATATATATATATATATCTGAACTTGAACTTTTACTTCCTAAGAATTAGTACCTGTTTAGCACATTAATAATTTTATTGGTTTTTTATTTTAACAAATTTTATTGCCAATATTTAAATGTAAAATAAGATGTTTTGTGTCTAGAATAGGTTCTAATTCCAGCAGAATAAAATACTAAGATCTGACACACTTTTCAAGATAATTTTTACCTCTTGTTTTTCTAATTTATTTTGCTCTTGTATCCTGGAGAGTATTTCCGTCATATTTGTTTCAAGCACCATACCGCCCATTACTAATTCATTTAGGATATAGTGAACCTGAAATACAGAAGTTCATTGAATCACTAGAAAACAATAAACACTGTCTCAAATACATCATGATTCGAAAATACTATACAGTGTTTGGAATTCAATATATATTAAAAGCATATCAAACAAACAATTACTAACAAATGGAACAAATCTTAACAGAAAGGGTGGGCTTCAGCTCTTACTATCTATTTTCAATTCCAAGCTGTACATAATTATGCTAGAGCGCAGAATGATCAATCAATATATAATTAATCAAACAAAAAATTAATAAATAAAATCCACAAATACCAGAATTTTTATACAAAATGGGAAATAGAACAGTTAAAAAAATATATTTAACTTGTAACTGTTACTAAAATCTTAGCATATTATCTAATCTATGTCCATATGTATAAATATATTCTTTATTTAAATGAAGCCTGCTGCTATGTAGTTTACACTGACAAGTGAACATTATTATTCATACCATTGAGTCTGTTACCTACATGTTGGTTACATAAATTTCATTTTTCGGTACCAGTTCCAAATTGCTATTTCAAGATCACCTACAGCACACTATAGGTGGAATTCCAAACCAATTCAAGTGTATTAGGAAATAGGCTTAATGACCAATCCACAGCACTTCGTAACAAAATCTTTATGTTAGGTAAGGACAATTTAAATCCCGATCAGGTTCAATATTCTTCATAGATAAATAAAAGCATGAACCAACTAATCAAAAAATTTCTCAGCTGTTCAGAAACTCCCTTCTCCACAGAAAATAAATATAGAAATAGACATAACTACTATGTTTTATACATACATCTAAGTTTCCTATAACATTCAGATTATTAAGCTCAAATATAATTACAACACTAAGAATTAAATAATAACAATTTAATTGAAGCTCTGCTGCAATCAAAACCGAATTATATTTTAAACTTATTTATTAAAATCCTAAATAATTAATTATGAATATAATAATTTTGTATATAATGTAAAAATGAGCATAATTTTCATCATCAAATAAAATAAATTAAGTAAAAACTGGTTTATACATCTTACATACTTGAACTGGTTTACTCGTTGGTTACTAATTTACTCGCAATAAGTTGCTAAAAATCCATTTAAGTCAAAAATATGTCATGAGCACACATCTATCATTAGATGTGAACATTATTGTCAATACTCGACTAATTTTTACATTACTCGAGATTCCATAACAGTGTGCAAAAAGTGATATTTAAACCAGTTGCCATCTTACGAGTGGCAATTCAGGACTAGTACTAACTTACTCAGTGGTATCTAGATGTAACTTACTAAAGAATGATATACCTGTATATGTACAGCTGCTTTAGCTCATGATCAAGTAAAACTAAATCTCTTGAAATATAATTTAATACTCAGATAAGTTATGTAACAATATTCATATCCAATACACTGTATTATAATATAGAATTTATAATTAATAAGTGACCTTAATTAGTATAATAGAAGAAATCACATCAGTAACAACTAATTTTACCTTGTCGACATGGAAAATCAAATCCAGTTCACAGACATTTTCAAAACATTTGTCCAATGTCTCAACAAAAACTTGTATCAGATCGAGAATTCCAAGCTCAGATTCAGAAGAATCAACACAAAACACAAAATAGAGCGTCGCATAATGCCTGTAGATTAACTTGTAATCAGAGCCACCTATTAAACTACAACCATAAGCATGAAATTAAATTATAATCTATTAGAATAGAATGAAACTAAACTGAACATAATGACAAAAAGATTAAGAAACATACCTTCCACCCTCTAGAAAATTGCAAACATTGTCATCTCTTTTAGAAACAAGTTGAAAGGTTTCTTTAATAATTTGCTGCTGCATATCTTCTGTCTAAATTAAAACAAGAATAAGAAAAACATGAATATACATTGATTATATAACATTAAAAAAAAATCACAGATATGATTAATTTATTTACAAAATACTGATAGAATTTAGTCAATCTTGGTTTGCCATGGTTATTAAATACTAATATTGCTTTAATCATGTTATATATAATTTTAAAGATCAATCTTCTTCAGCATTAAATTATAAAAATTAGTAAAATAATAATGCCAATTAAGCCCAACGCCAACTTGAAAATTTAAGTAACCAACATATCCACAATAACACTCTTACAGAGAACTAAATAAACTAATGTTCTTGTCAAGAGAAAGTCCATATCGATTAAATTTGAAGTATATCCAAAGAATAAAAAGGAATGATAGACCATTACGTCCAAAGAACATAATGTTTTAATGTTAGTTATTTGCAGAGAATTAATTAAAGAAAAATTGAATTATAAATTTTCTTTGACACAAGATTTGAAGAACACAAGATTTCTTTTAACACGAGATAAATTTTCTTTGACACTTCGAAATAACGTATTTCATGATTAATGTTTTCGTTAAAACGGCGAACCCCAGCATCGAGAGACTTGTCTTGTTATTCTTATTACTCCTAAAACGGAATTACCTAATATTTTAAAACGTGTGCCATAAACAAGGATTCTCCACAATGAAGTTTGTAATAACTGTAACCTCTTATCTTTCCATATAAAGGTGTTACCTTTATATTAATGATTTGTATACTGTATTTTAAAAAATGTCCCTATTAAAATTTAGAACCGATCAATACCATATTTTGTTGGATTGGGAACCGCTGCCCCAAAGTAAAGCAAACTCGTGATTAAACAATAATTGAATGGGCAACTATTTATTAGAAAAACCTCCTTTAGTAAATTTACTTTTCTCCAGTATTTTGATATTGTTAATTGGAATCCGTTAACATTGTTTGTTTCTTAAACAGTTAAATAATTTAATTAGGCTCCTTAAGTTAGAACATTATCGTGCACAAAATGTAATGATTACCGTTGTATCTCACGCTCTCACAAGATCTTTTCTCACATTTTTTGGGAGATATTTCAGGTAAATATCAAAGAGGAAATGGGAGATAGCTGGCAGAATTTTTAGAAAGGAAATTCCACAATAGGTCAAACCATTGCGCTGAGAATATTATTGGTAAAATTAGGGGGATATAAGATAAATATCTAACACCTTTTGATTGATTTTCGAATTGAACTAGCCGATTACAGATGCGCATGTAATTCTTTAGGCAACTTTCTGATCCGCGTAAATGTAGAGGTCTATCAATACTTCGAAACGTTGGTATACGAATCGAAGGTATCAGCGGAACATGAGTACTTCAATTCTCATGCTTTCAGGAGTAGGTGTGAGGCAACTGTGGTGGCATTTGTAATGGAAAGAGATCATTCTGAACTGGTCTTCAATAAATTTCAATGGCGTTATATTTATAAATGTTCATTGCCAGATTTAAAGTGATGAATGATTTATGCTAACTCTCGGAAACCAACGCTGCCATAAGTGGCTAAAGAGAATAAGTAACATTTTTGAATTCTTAGAATACTGAATTCAAAACACTTGTATATACTATGAGGACGATGTTTGTCATCAGTAGGTGAAAAAGTAATACTAATATATCGCTTTACCCCTTCATTATTGACAATAATTCTATTTTTCCCAAATTCAATTATCTCCTTCACCAACCCGACCCTTCAATTATTTCGATGCGTTTTCTGAGTCCTCATCCCAAGGTAAATGAGAGCTGTCATACTGGTAGGGAAGTCAAGCGAATTGCTGAAGATAAAATAATGTATTTACAAAACTTTGCGAAAAAGTAGAAGAGACTACTTAAGGATTAACTATAAGAAGGGAAAAATAATAAAGACGTTCATACTAAAAAATCAAATGTGTATTTTTTTAAATTTCGTTTTGTAATTTCTTAATTATCTAAACCAAATAAGTGGCTGTAACTTATTTATAGGATCATTACTTCGTAATAAATAAAAAGAACATTCCAAGAGAATGACGGTCTTATAGATGGGTTGGTCTATGCCTCATTACCACAAACTCAGAACGGCTCTGTTGTGTTCGGAACATTAGCAAATCACCTGTAGTTTTGCAACTTACATTTGAGATTTATCTTAACAAAATAATGGAAGCAAGAAATATCAGTAAGAGACCATGTGCATAGCCAATGGTATACCTGAGGGTAAAGAAATATTTAATCAGTGGTAGACAGGCCAACTAAGGAACCATATCTGAAGAAAGTTTGAGGACTATTGCCATTGAATCGACCCTTATCCACGCTATAAATGACATTAAGAAGAAAAAAGATATAAGATATTTCTGGTTATCCACCCCACTTACTGTGATGTTTTTTTTATTCATCTTTCAATTTTTACTCTTTGAGATTCCGATTTGAACCTCTATGATTGTTGTGATAGGTACTAAGTTTGTTTAACTAATAAAATGACAGAAAAATGTAATGGATATTGCCGATTTTTAGTTTCCATGGGCGTACTTTAGAAGTAGAAATTAATTTGTTTTTTTATCGCCACTTTTGTATGGCGGTATTAAGTTTTTTAGATTTAATTAGGAGTTACACTTTTTTTTATCCTTATTGTGGTTTATTGCAGTCAAGATAATTTAATTTTTTTTATTTTTAAAAGTTTTGTTTGAACTATTATCCAAGTATAGATGTGACTTCTAATTTTTTAAATGCAAGTACTATTAAATAAGATAATATTCCATTTGTAAATTTGGTTGTACTTATTTTAAATATTTCTAGTGAATGGAAATTATCTACATGGAATCTGTGCCATATATCTGTCGCTCATTATCTTGTGATGTAGACTGAATGAAAATATGGAAACATTTTTCTTTATATTGCTGTTTTTTACAGCTATTAGAGGTAAGTTCTTCAATATCTTAACTGTTCTATTAGTCTAATCAGACTCATGTGTCATTAATTTAGCTTAAATTAAAGTTTTGTGATTTATTATTTTTTGGTCCTGCATAAATGACCCCAACCAACTATTTAAATGCTCCCATCTATATAAATATGATTTTTTTAAATCTATTATTGTTGTATATAGTACTACTTAGAGTATACTTTTCTCCCAATTTTTAAAGGGTAATGATCACACCTTTTAAATGCCAGGATAAAATTGTTTAAGTGATTCAACATATCAGAAAGATGATAGAAAATTTTTTCTGTTGCTATTTTCTTGAAGAAATTTGAATATTCAGTAAAGGCTCAAATGATATCAATTTCAAGAGTTACTGCAAGTTACAATTAATAAATATAACAAGTTACTATGAATGAACATTATGTTTTAGGAACTTAAACCAAGAAGTAGTTTTGGTTTTTGAACTATTAGGGAAAAGATTAAAATGTAGGAGGAAACATGGAATGAAATTAAGAATAGAAAGGGATCAAAGATAATAGAACCTATGATTTTACCTAAATGTAAAGTAAAGTAATTAAGTTTAATAAATATACTTGATTAGAGAGTATGTTAATAGTTAAACTAGAGTGGCTTACCATACTTAAGGCATTGTACTAGGCTTCCAGTTTTTTTTTTTCTCTTTAACCTCGACATCCAGATAGTTAAGTGTATACTCTACAACTCCTATAAAACTATCGCTTTTTTGTATAATTGTTGAAATTATGGTGAAACTAGTTGATTTTAATATCAGATATTTAAAAAAAAGATATTACAAAAATCATTAATATATAAAATACTTTATGGTACTCAGAATTAGTGAAACTTCTACTTAGAGCTGCTGTAATAAAGAAGTATTGGCGACATTAAAATAATGATTGTGACAGTTAATTTTAAATCTTGAAACTTTTGTGGAACTTACTTGAAAGGTTCTATTTTTATAGTTTCGGTGAAACTTTTTTGAAATAAGTTCTTAAATTTTATATTTCTTCGAAACCTTTTTTCATAGTAAAATTGTACTTACAGTAAAAGTTTAACTTTTTTTATTTAAGTTCTTAAAATAAATATGTTCAGTAAAAGAAAAATAACCAGTAATTGTGCTTGATTGGCCAGTAATCGGTAATTGAAGATAAATTCAGATATAATTTATCTTCAATGAATGACTTGATTCTTATTTTGCGTTTTAGTAGCTAAAGGATTGCTGCGCTGTACTGTTTTTCATGATAGGATTTTTTCATTAACTTTCTGGCAAACTGAATTGCTTTAACAAAAGTTTTAATTAAAAGTTTTCCAAAGCATTCAATCGAAGTTCCATGGCAAAAAGTTTATGAAATAACTGAGAAAAAAAAATTGAAAATTGAAATTCCAGTCATATCGGGACAAAGTAAAAATAAGTTAAATTTATATTTTAATACCTGTTTTAAATCATTATGGAGAAAAATACTAATTTCATTAAAATATGGAACATTTATCTGCTCCTAAGATTAAGATTAACTTGGATCAGATTTTAAATAGAAACATATTTAAAAATTATTGGTAGAATGTTTAGACCTTTGTTAAATAGCTATTTTAATTTGCTTGGATTTTATTATAGTCTTATTTATATATTTTGGTAAGTTTTTGTATTTGTTAATAGGAAATATAGTTCAAAGGATTTGTGCTAAAAGTAAAGAATCATACAATGTCACTGAAGACAATATTCAAAATTTCGCATATGCAAATGAGGTAATTATGTTTGGATTCATATAGTTAATATTTTTATGTATATGGAACATTATTTGTCTTATCTGACATCATTCGTTTTTTCTGATTCACCAATAATTTTCTGAATGTTATGTCATTTTACTTTTATGATAAACTGTTTGTGTTTTTTTTAAATTATCGTTATATTTCTGAATCTGCATTATTTAGAAAAAAATTGGGTTCTATGTTTTATTAAGGGTAACGTTTTAATATTTGTGGTTTATTGTTTCATTCAGTCTGTTTTTTAACCAACTATCTGATGACTCAAAAAGATGGGTTATATACAAAACTTTATGGTTCCCTATCTACTATCACTTTTATTATCAACACTGTATGTTTCCTTTTAATGGTCTCAGATTACTAAATTACCTAATAAAGGAGAAATTTTAAAATATATTGGGTTTTGAAAATGCACTTACTTTGTTTCTACCTGTTACAAATATATAATTTCAGGGAAAAGAAGATTGCAACACAGGTGTAGTTACCTGCTATTCCTTATGGAGAATCGTTTCTGGAGCAAACAATGCATCAGTGATTCAGATAATAACTCAGGGTGAATATTTTTTAAATTATATTAAATTGTGTTTAAATTAGAAAATGTTATGAACTTTTTAAAAATCATATTATCTTTACCACTAATTATAAAATATATCACATTTCTATGTAATAAATACAATATCTCTTTATTCAAAACATTTATAGAATTCTGTTCCCTATTCTCAAGATTTAATTTTGTAATGAAGAGAAGAATAGTTGGGGTGGTTAGTCAAAAAGGAAGGCAAAAATAAATGATAATATTATTTTTACATATGCCGACGTTTCGACCTGAAGTTCAGGCCTTCATCAGGGCTAAGAAAATAACCAGATAACGAGGTATGAGAAACATAAGTAGTGATGGTTAAAAAATAAAAAAATAAAATAAATAAATATAAAGTAAAATGAAATTGTTAGAATAATGACTAAGAACTAAGAGATAAATAATAATAACCGTTACAAAGTGTGGAATGATGAAGTAGGCATAATCAAAAAGGATGACATAAGTGTTACAATGGGAATCTTAGAATAAAATGTAAAACATAAAAAACAAATATAAAGTTATATAAGAAATGAAAATAAATAGTAAAATTAAGACATTGAGAATGGAGTAGTTAGTTAGAAAATTGAGATTTTCTATCTAACTACTCCATTCTCAATGTCTTAATTTTACTATTTCAATAAATCCTAAATTTTCCCTATGAATTAAAGTTAATAACACAATGTGTCGTAGTCTATATGTTATTATTAGTGTCCATCGATCCTAGGGTAGAATTTTGACATTAATGAAGTTATTGATTCCCAGTCATTATTCTAACAATTTCATTTTACTTTATATTTATTTATTTTATTTTTTTATTTTTTAACCATCACTACTTATGTTTCTCATACCTCGTTATCTGGTTATTTTCTTAGCCCTGATGAAGGCCTGAACTTCAGGTCGAAACGTCGGCATATGTAAAAATAAATATCATTTATTTTTACCTTCCTTTTTGACTGACCACCCCAACTATTCTTCTCTTCATTATCCACGACAGTCAACCAATTACCAATTATTTAATTTTGTACATTATTTGTTCAATAAATCCTAAATTTTCCCTATGAATTAAAGTTAATAACACAATGTGTCGTAGTCTATATGTTATTATTAGTGTCCATCGATCCTATGGTAGAATTTTGACATTAATGAAGTTATTGATTCCCAAACAAATTTAGTATATAAAGAACCTTAAAAATCATTATTCTACTGTTTTTGATATGAATTACTTGCGCCATGAAAAAAGAAAAGCCGCAAAATTAAAAGCTCTAAATAATCCTAGCGAAGACAATCTGGAATACTTCCGAACCTCAAAGAACGAAACGACAAAATTGCTCAAAAATAAAAAAAGGGAGTATCTTAAAAATAAAATAATTGAAATAGAAACTAATAGAATCGAAAATAACGTAAGATACATGTACAAAGGTATAAACAGATCACGTAAATGTGTAGAGCCCGTAACGTCTGGAATTAGGGATGATAATAACAATATTCTGACCGATCCGGTTGACATATTGAATAACTTTAAGGAGCACTTTGACAATATTTTAAATACGGGAAATAATGATCTGTATCCTCCTTCTGAGTACCAGAGTGCTGAACCGTTTATAGAAGGACCAAGTAAAGAGGAAGTTGAAGTAGCTATCGGAAAATTAAAATCTTATAAAGCAGCGGGAACCGATAATATTCCTACTGAACTAATTAAGGCTTGCGGGGAAGCTGGAGTTTCTAAAATACATCGGTTGGTTGAAAAGATCTGGGTGAACGAGGAATTACCTGAAGAATGGAAAGAATCTATTCTTATTCCGATTCACAAAAAGGGCCCGAGGACGGATTGTAATAACTATCGAGGAATTTCACTCCTTCCGGTATGTTATAAATTATTTACTTTAATCTTAACCAGTCGAATCACGGAATACGCTGAGGAAATTATCGGAGACTACCAATACGGATTTAGATGGAATCGTTCGACTATTGATCAAATATTTTCTTTACGGCAAATATGAAAGAAAAAATTGGAGTACAATGGTACTGTTCACCAGCTGTATATAGATTTTAAAAAGGCTTACGATTCTATTGACTGCTAGAAACTGTATAATATTCTAATCGAGCAGGGGATTCCAAAAAAACTAGTAAATCTAGTCAGGATGCGCTTGACGGAGACACTCAATAAAGTTAGAATCGGTAATAATCTGTCCGAAAAATTTGAGGTTCGGTCGGGTTTAAAACAGGGGGATTCCCTTTCGCCTGTCCTGTTCAATTTGGCATTAGAACATGCCATTAGGGAGGTAATGCGTACCGAGAAAGGGTTAGATCTGGGAGGGACAACATCCGTTCTGGGCTATGCTGATGATCTGGTACTGTTAAGCGAAGACATTGAAACTATAAAACTAAATACGACAACGTTAATGAAAGCCGGTAAAGAACTAGGACTTGAAATAAACGTGGATAAAACAAAATATATGGTTAGCTGCAAAAATGGCGATATCGATATAGATGGTAATATGTTTGAAGAGGTAGATAAATTTAGGTATCTAGGTTCTACGATAACTAGAAAAAATGAAATTGAAGAAGAGATTAAGGTTAGACTGAAGGCGGGAAATGCTTGTTATTTTTCTGTGACAAAACTACTTAGTTCGCGCCTCTTGTCCCGGAACTTAAAAATTAGAATCTATAAAACAATTATCTTGCTTACAGTTCTTTATGGATGCGAAACTTGGCCCCTTACATTAAGGGATGAGCAGCATCTTAAGATTTTTGAAAATAAAGTATTGCGTAGAATATTCGGACCGAAGAAGGATGAGTTAACCGGAGAGTTCAGACGGTTACACAACGCCGAATTGCGTGAACTTTATCCGGGTAATATAATTGAGGTGATTTCATCACGGCGAATCAAATGGGCTTGTAAAGTTGTTGGACTTGGTAATGAGAGAATTCCTAAAAGGTTAATATTTGCTGAGCCGAATGGTAAGCGTCTGAGGGGCAGACCGAAGCGAAGGTGGGAAGATTGCATTAAAGCCGATCTGAAGGGACTGGGTCTGGACGGCGAGCGGTGGAGGGATCGTAAGCGATTGGTGGTGTCGGCATCGAACCTTCGGGTTCGTTAAGCCTGTTTATTATTATTATTATTATTTTGATATGGATTAAAACCCAGATCTCATCAGAAAACTAATATTGAATTTTTTTAAATATTCATTTTAGTAATAAGGAAAAGTTTCTAAATTCAGTGCTGAGACGATCATTGGCTTCATAAATCTATCAGACCATCTCTTTATTCATTGATTAAATCTCTGATGATTCATTGGTATTATCAGCTATTGAGATTGATACATATCCATTGGATGTAGCCTGACCACATTTTCAATATTGTTGTTTTTATTTCTCAGCTAAATAGAATTGAAACTATGAAATATTTACTCGTTAATTTATTAATTGTTCTCGTCCACTTTTTAGAAAAATCATTCTCTGCACTCCAAAATTATTTCCTTTTGATCCTTTATTCTTTTTTATCTAATATAATTATCGCTTTGGTAAGTTTTGTAGCTTAATATTTATTCCAGGTTGTGTCATTTGTTTTATTATTTTAAATATTTCATAGTTTAATTTAATAATTACAATTAAATAATAGTTGATGCAAATATTCATACTTTAACCCTTTGACTCCGCAGTATCTCCCTTTGAGCTGATTTGTGTATTTCTACCAGATTATGCATCCTGAAATCCAAAAAGATGTCCATAAAAACGAACTGTTTGCATAAATTTGTTTAAAATGCTATTTTGAATCACCCTGCAAGATCTGAGCTTTGAAAAATGTATTTTAACCTTTTTATTCAACTTTTAATAAATTGGACATATGCCTTCCCGGCCGCACACAGCGATACAAAATTAGAGCGGCAATCCCGCAACACTTCACTTTCTAGTGTATTTGCTCATTTCTGAAAAGCAAAATAAATTTGCCTTAAATCATTGCATTCTTATAAATAATCAGACAAAAATGTATTAATAACATGTATCAATCCCTCAACTATTCTGGCTGCTTACATTCTTGAAGGAAGCCACTTTTTTTAGCCCATCTGACTTATTAAAATAGATATTCTATTTCTATTCATGTGATCGATAAATAAGTAGTTTGGATGTTTCTCAAAAACTAATACAATTGTTATATACTGTAATAATAATTAGAATTATGACAATGTCAGTATCACTAACGATTGCTTATTCAATTTCAAAGTCCAGATCGACTCGGTCAACCTTGACAGTCCTCCCATTTTTACTGTGGTCTACACCTTTCAAGCATTTACTTGTTTGTTAAGCAATGATTATTTTTTTAAGAATTTGTTGATTATCCATCCATCAGCTATGTATGTCCATTTCAACCCTTGCAATGTTATTACTTCAATTATGTTTACTTCAGTGTTATATTTGTTACATATATTATTTTAAAATATATTTTTTAATTTCCTTGTTTTTATTTTCTCTAAATTATATTAACTTTAACACGATTTAGGATGTTGGGAGACCTCTAGACTAAGTGACTGCCTCGGTGAAGAATGTTTGCCACAAAAGACCAATTCGCAAACAATGTTTTGCTGTTGTAACGCCAACTTCTGTAATGTCAATATCACAAAATTTGATGTAGATGTTATTACTACTACTCCAGCAATTAGTAAGTGTTATTTTATTTGTATCCTTTTTTTCTTTAAGTAACTGAATGAAAATAGTTCATGAATAAATTTGATGAAATTTATAATGGATTAGATAGCATTAGCAAATTTATGACTCATTTTATTTTAAAACTTTTCTTTTAGTCTTTTTTAAAATATTTCTTGTTATAGGTGGAGCTATAGAAGGTCGTACAGACAATGCAAATAATGGTAGAGAGAAATTTGTATTGATTGGTGCCGGTATCAGTCTTATAGCATCGTTATTAGTTCTAATTGCATTCCTTAAGCGATGGAGTCCTCTAGTTGAGAAGGAAATTAATCAAAAGTCAAATGATGGAGTTGAGATTTGTGGTAGAGAAATACACAATGCCATCTATACAATGCCAAATATCTCTCTCACGCGGATAGTAGGTTTGTATGAAGTTTTTATTTTTTTATGTTTACACTTTTTGTTGTTATTTTTTATAAACATGGCAAATAGCATACATTTTTACTTTCAATGCCTGTATCTACAATACTACTTTTTATCTGTTCTTTATTACTCTAATATAGTAATTGGAGTTAAAGACAAAAACATGTTTGAAATAATTGAGTCCATATTTTATTTTATTTGATCAATTTAAAAAATAAAATTAATTTAATGTAGTGCATTCTATTTTTCTCTATCAGGAGATTCTAATTTTGTTGTCCTTAACATTATATGTGGTCTATTTTCTTTCTGTTAGGAGTTAATGAGATTTCTTTTAGAGTGACTTAAATTTTCTTATATTGTAATGCAGAATTTTCTTTGATCTCTCTTTATTATATCTGATTACTGATAAAATACTTGATGCCAGCTTTCTGTTCAATTAGTATAAATCATCAAGTATTATTGATTGGTCATGCTAAACAGGAGGAAATTTTATCTTCCTGCATTTGTCAGAAATGAAGCTGAGATATGGAATAAATTGTATAGCCTTTGTTATTTGTTCTGTTTCGTAATTGACTAATAAGTAGTGTTTTCCATTTATTTCATTCTAAATAAAAGAGACCAAGTCAAACTTATTAGGAATATAATTAAAAGTAGAAAATCTGGTGCTCACATCACACAACTTTTACTTACCGCTAAGATGAACCACATGTTCGGGTTGAAACGGCACAAATAAAAAATTTTTTTTAAGAAGACTGCGTCCTGAATATTTATCACCCATGATATGTAGAACAGTCGACTAGCTTTCTTCAATAATTGATCAAAAATAAAAATGCTTAACTATTCGGTAGATGACTAGAATTTAACTTAGCAATTATATTTAGTAATTTTCTTTTGGCCCTGATTGTAGACTGTTCATTTAAATGAATTAGTTTCCAACAGTATATTGTATTAAACCATTCCTGTTTTTCATTATTGTAATGTTAATAACGAAATTTGTATTTCTTTTTCCAGGTGAGGGAAGATATGGAACTGTTTGGTTGGGGTTGGTGAGAGGAGAACAAATTGCTGTCAAGATGTTTCCTCAGCACTATTCTCATTACTTTTATAATGAAAAAGACATATACACTCTTCCTTTCATGAAACATTCTTCTCTTCTTACATATTTTGGTTAGTCAACATTATTTTTATTATTGTTAAATTGTTTGTTGCTTATAATTTCTAGACAAATATTTTTGATCATTGTACCCCTCAATTAATTTTACACATTATTTCTGAACGGAATAGCATATAATTCCTCTGTTTTAATAATTTTTCAATTTTAATCCCAGCTTTTCATTCCAAGTCAAAATAAAAATAAGGATGGGTGGATTTTCTAAGAATGACTGGACAAAGGCTAATCACTTCCATAAAAAAAATTAGAGTGGATAGATGCAAAGTGTTCCTTGGCCGTTACACCAACGATCTTCATCGTAAGATTTTGTTTAGCGATGAGAAAATTTTTACAGTTGTATAAAAATATAATCGCCAAAATGATCGTGTGTACACACACAGCTCTAAAGGAGTCCAGAAAGTTATTGGAAGTGTGGAAAGAGATCATCACCCCTCCTCAGTTATGGTTTGGTGGGGAGTTTGCTTTGATGGCACCACAAAGCTCCATTTTTGTGAAAAAAAGAGTTAACCATATTTTGGAATCTGTTGTCAAGCCTCTAAATGATACTCTCTTTGCTGGAAGTCATTGGGTTTTCCAGCAAGATTCTGCTCCAGCTCACAAGGCCAGGTCAACTCAGCAGTGGCTGCAACAGAACATTCCAGAGTTCATATCTGCCTCGGATTGGCCCACAAGAAGCCCTGATCTCAACCCACTAGATTATTGGCTTGGGTCCGCACTGGAGAGGATGGCATGCCACGTAGCGCATCCTAACTTGGAAAGCCTCAAACAGTCTCTGGTCCGAGTGGTTGACTGGCCACGGAGATTGAATGCCTGTGTCAAGGCAAAAGGGGGACATTTTGAGTAATTTCTTTTTTGTTTTACTCTCTATAGATCTACATTTTATTTTCTTATAAAGTTTTGAAAAAATTAAATTTTTATTATTTTCTTGTAACAATATTTATGGCAGGACTAGGTATAGGTAATTTATCATTGATTTATTTGTTTACAATATAAATAAATATTATCGTTTGAAAAGAAGTATTGATTCACAAAAGCATAATTCTACTTTTTATTTTAGGTTCTGATGAATCGAGAGACAAAGATGGTATCACTAGGCTGTGCTTGTTCTTGTCATATTGTCCAATGGGGACGTTACAAGAATTTCTCAAGGAAAGAACTATGTCCCTTTCAACATTTTGTAGTTTAGCTGTTTCAACTGCCGCTGGTCTTGCTCACTTGCATACGGAAATTCATGCTCATGGTAATTTTTTTTTTTTCAAATTAGATATCAGTGTATTGCAAAGTCACTAAGGGGTCATTCCACATCAAATCAACTGGCGGCTGGACCCAGAGGGTTTTGATAATTTTTTAGTTTGTTGAATGCATTAATATAAAGAATAATACTAAATTTTAGATATTTTGGATTAACTTTTTTTAATTATGAATTTTTAAAACAATAAAATATCTCGAAAAAAAGTCCATTTTAAAAATAGTTTTTGGGATATTTCTGAAGAACTATTCGACCTAGAAAGCTGAAACTGGTGTCATCTCTTGTTTGGTTTTTTATTCTATTTTTTTTTATGCACAACATAACTATATCCTAAAAATATAATATTTTCCAAGAAAAACAAAACTTATATTTTTGATTTTTTTTTTTTTTAATTTTTTTAATTGAAAATTTTTGTCATTTTAACATATAGTGGCTAAAGGTGTGCCAAATTTCAAAGTGGAGAGACAATGGGTTCACAAGATGAAAACAAGGCTAACCTACTATAGGTCAAAGTCTGCTATTAAAATATTTAAATTTATGCTTCTATATTTTTATTTAATTGTCACTTATGTGTAATTTACATTTAATCAAAGAATTACAAAAACTTGAATACAATATTTAGAAATGAAATTCTAAATATTTATATAGGTCTTGATTTATTATCTTATTTATATAGCCTTAAATATTCTTTATACATGTATACTTACTCTAATATTGGCAGACCTTGACGGCGTTTATAATTTTTAAAGTTTGCAATTTCATCTACTGTGCCTTATAATTAGTTACTATATTTTATAATTTAATGTGAAACTGTTTAAAAAAATATTTTTTATTATTTTCCCTAACAAAAAAATGAAGAAATAATGTAAGTAAAAAAATGAATCAAATAAAAAAGAAGTTAGTTTTTTGCATCCTCGAGGACCTGCCATATTGTTCTGCTATGTACAGCCAAAATCTGAGTTTTTTTTTTTATGTAGTTTAACTTAAAAAAAAGTAATTTGCGAATTTTGACTTTATTTATTTTGATACAAAAGCACCATAAGTGGATGAAAATAAAATAACTTTTTTATATATCAATATAGTTACAATAGGTGCACAATTTTCTGAGTTAAGTGAGAGAAAATTCTATAAAGTTCTTAATTATGTAAGATTATGAAATGTCACTTGATGACTTTTTGCAATAAACTGACGATATGCATTATTTAACCCTAATATGATCTCTTTTTCTTTTTCTTTTAGGAAAATGGAAACCTTGCATTACACATCGTGATATTAATTCTCGCAATATTCTTGTTAAAGAAGACATGACATGCTGTATCTGTGATTTAGGACTTGCAGTTAAAATTACTGGACCACACTATTACAGTCTTGGAGAAGAAATGCATGCTGAAACAAAAAGTATCAATGATGTATGTTAGAATTTTTTTTTAATTTTAGGAAAACCATTTTATATTATTTTTAAAACTTGATATTGCCTCTTTCTTTTTTTCTCTTTGATTTTAATTATTTTAAAATAATATTAATATTCTTCTCTCCGGAGGTGGAACAATTTAAATAATTGATTTCTTAATATTGAGCTTATTTCTTTTGGATGGAACTCTGCATCATCATATAATTGTTCCTTGTTTTCTAAGCTGATAGACATTAAAATTTATTTCTATGATTAATAAAAGTTATTAATACTGTCAATTGTGGACTTAATAAAGTTCTCTTGTATTTAATGAAGCAGCTATTTAGTTCTCTCAATGAGTTTTCATGCATAAATGACCTAAGTTTTGTAACCAATGATGGAACAATTTTGTGGAACTTTGGAAGGATTATTCACTTGAGAGAAACAAAAATATTTTTTTCTAGATCTTTTTTCTCATATTGAAAATAATACAAATAACTTGTTCATCAAATCTATGCTTCCTCCAAGAGCCACCGCCAATATGACCTGTGCTGCACTGCAGTTCTCCAGTTATGGGTGTTGATTAACATCAGCAAGTTCTTTAACACACTATCCAACCGCCTTACCGATGGTCCTCCAACCAGTCTCGTTCTTTGAAACTTTTCTGTTACCGCTTTTTTTAGTATTTCAGCATCAACCTCCTAAGGCTAAATGAATTTTCCCGACTTGATACATTTTACTATGTTTATGTTCCTGTTCGGTAATCCTAAATGTTTTTCATGTTTCACCATCATTTATTCTGAATATTTTCTGTCAAGTATTACCGTTAAACAAGTGATGCCTGTTTTTATCAGTTTTTTACAGTTATATATATTTTTTTTATAGACACAAAATAGACATCTTAAGAGGCTGTGTTCTGTATTATTTATTTAAGGCATTTTCGGAACGATCCTCCGAACTCAATTAAATATAATTTAGCTGTCGCTAGAAGTGGAGAGTAGCCTTATAATAGTATTGCCACTTGTAGAAAAGTATAAGATAAATAATTGAGTAAGGAAATGTTCCGGGTTGGCGGGGTGGGGAATGGCGGTCATAAAAAGACTTTTATAGTGGAAAAACTATTTTATTTCAAGCCAACGTTTTGACCCAACTTTGCAGGTCTTCTTCAGGGTTGTGTATGCAGCAAGGAGTTTAAGTTGACTGTCAAGTACTCATGTCTTTTTATGTCTGCCACCCCGGAACATTTCCTTACTCAATAGCATACAACGGTCAACCATCAAGCGTTAATAAATAAAGTAACTTTTATTTATTTTTTCTAATTGAACTTGTGCAAATTTCATTGCTTATCTTACTTTGTATTCCATTTTTTAACATTTGCTCTAATTTATGGCTCATAAAGTTTTAAGTGCTGACTATCTTAGAGATAAACTTGTATGAAACAATTAATGCATATTTTACAGGTAGGAACATTAAGATATATGGCTCCTGAGGTTTTAGAAGGTGCAGTAAACCTTCGTGATTGTGAAACATCTCTAAAACAAATAGATGTATATGCACTGGGTCTTGTTTTATGGGAAATGGCTATACGTGTTACAGATTTTTATCAAAAACCTTCAGATGTTCTACCATACATGCTCCCTTTTGAAAGAGAAGTTGGTACGTATTTATTTTAAATGTAATTCATTGGTGTTGATAAAAAAGAAATTTCAATTTTCAATTGAAATTTTAGTAAATATTTAATGTTTCTTTAGAAATCCCTAAAAAAATAAAATAATGAATGACTAAAAATATAAAAGTTGTTTGTGCTTTAGAGCTCTTCATGATGAGAAGATCATTGCTTTATTATTAATAATAACTATAAATTAAAAAATGCACTTAGTAGTATTTTAATTTTCTTAACATTAAGAACTAATGCCTTCGATCGATGAATTCAGTTGTCATGTTTACACTCCTGGTATATTCTATTTTTCTTCCTTTTGATAAAGCTATATATATTGTGATTCAAAGCTCTACATTTTCTCAAAAAGTAAGAATACTGAAGAGATTAGTTCATAATGAATAAGCTAGGATGAAATAAATAAATAAACACCTTAAAACTTGGAGCATAAGAATGGCCCTTTTTATTTAGTTTATTATTATTATTTTCTTTTAAATTATTATTGACATTAGTACCGAATCTTTGTTCAAATTGAATTTTATTTAAAGGCCTGCATCCAACACTAGAAGAAATGCAGATGGCTGTGTGTAGAAATAAAGCACGTGCTATGTTCCCAAGAGATTGGAAGTGCACACGTGCTTCGAAATGTATTCGAGAAACCATTGAAGACTGCACTGATCAGGATGGTGAAGCTAGGCTAACTGCATTATGTGTTCAAGAAAGACTAACTCATATTTATAGAGGTATGTAATTGTATTAATTTATATTGGTTAAGATATGAGCCATTTATTTTGAAAATGGCCTAAGTCCATTTGTCAATTATTTCCGGTTTACCATGGTTACATGGACAACTTCAAGTTATCTATCAATGAAACATTTGAGGTTACTTATATGATGAGTAAATATGATAATTTTTAGGACACATAAGTTTTCAAAGTTAATTCAATAATTGACCGTTTACTTTAAAAGTCCATTTATACTTAAATTGAAATATTTATTATTGATAATGGCCGAAGGTAACAATTAAAGTAATTTTAATTAATTATTATTTAACAAGTTTACCTTAGTTTTTGGACATTGCTGTAGTTGAATAATCAGTATGCTTAATTAATGCAGTTAAAAAAAAATTTGCTTTATATATACTGTAAAAATTCAACTTAATGTAAATTTAATATAAAATTTAATATTGAATTTTAGAAATTATTTCATCCATAGGGAAGAACAAAAACACAAGACCTTTTAGTTTAGATAGTGAAGAAGACTTAGAAATTAATGATTTCAAGCAAATCGAAAAATAAAGAGAATTATAAAACAAAAGATTGAATGAATCATATTTTACAAGTTCGATGAAAGATGTTTTCAAAAATAAAATTGTCATTGTCAAAAATCTTGGATAAAAAATTATGGATAAGAAGAAAGAATACTTTTAAGAAGTTTTGGTTTTGGGAGAATTTAACAAACAAAATGGATTTAAAAATTGTCTAAACTGTTGAAAATAATATGGAAATCATATATAACAATGTTTTTACCAAATGGCAGAGATTTTGGCATGGTAGAAATGTCATTAAAAAAATAAAAAATTCACATGATTATTAAATTATCAAAAAGTGACGGAAAGATAATAACTTTATTGTCAATGAAATGAAACAAGAAGATTTTGTATCAAAAATATTATTAGAAGACAATTTTTAAAAGAGTGAAGAATTCTAACAGAGGACCAATGAACTGGTTAAAAATAAGTTGTATCCATTTTGTCATAAATGAACCGTATACAATGATAATAAAATTTTTAAAGTCCTGGATTTATAACCACGTTGGGGTAGACCAAGAAAGTTCGAAAAAGTTATAGTGAAACTACTTTATAAAAATATCAGACGGATTACAACAGCAAAATTCAAGGGCAAAATGGGCCTATTATTATATATACCACTGGCACATCATTTTTTTGAATCCCTTTCACGTATACAAAATGTAAATGAGCACTAAATTATTTTGTGATTTCTGTAGTTAAAAAATATTTTGAATCGCATAAATGATAATTATGTTTTTGAAGTGTTGTAGGGATATATAAAATAAATTGGGTATTTTTTTTTTCTTCAATTTGAAGCATCCTAAGTAATGTTGAATGGAATTGGGTTCCTTCAAATTTTATAATGAATCTTGTTATTAATTTTGAAATTGGCCTAACTCCATTATTAGCAAGAAAACGCACATTATTCACTTAATAATTGCCATTATTTTAATAGAAACTATAAATTTAACTCATTTAGATATATTTAAGTGTTATGACTCATTAGAATCATGTATTGAAATTCAAACCATTAAATTTCTCAATTTAAGTATAAATGGACTTGGGCCACTTTCAAAATAAACGGCTCATATATTTAAGTGATTCTCTCTCTCTCTTTTGTTTTCATTAATATATACTTAAAGAATAAATATAAAAACGATAAAACATAAAAAAATTATTCAATTTTTCAAAAATATTTATTTGGCAAGAAACCTTTGGCATCTGGAGTACTTAAGTTGCTGAAATTTCTGAAAAAGTCTTCTATGTTATCATGTCTTTAAAATTTCTTCTCATGATATATTCTTGTGATAACATCTTCCACTGATCATTGAAATGAAAAAGAACTCATTAAATGCATTAAAAAAATATATTTAGGAGAGAGAGAAGAAACTGCTAGTGGCCTTATTTGGAAATACCCACCAAAATAGTGGATCATGATGGATGATGGATTTCAATAATTAATAGTCGAATCATAGGCTTTTATAATTCATAGTTACTGAGTGATTTAACAATTGCTTAGTATCCATGATGTATCTTTATATAGTCAATTATGTAGTTTAATTATATTGAAAATGTCTTTTCTATTTTTCAGCTACCGCTGATGGAGGTTCAAGTCCAGCAGGCAATCAAACTAATGCTAACTTTAGTATGACTATTCTAAACTATAATAATAATTATTATAATAATATTAACAACTGTTTTGGGAACAATACAGATTCTGAACTAACAGGTTGGTTTGAACTCCCTATATTTATGTTGTATGGGTTATTGTTGTTGTTGGTTATCATTTATAAAATGTTTATTGTATCATGAGATTATCCATTTATAAAGTTGTTTAGAATACAAAGATTGTAAAGTTTCGTTTGATTACCAGTAATTATATATTTGTATCAATATAACTAGGTTCGTGAAGAAGTAAATACAGATGATTAATTACAAATATCAACAACAAAAAAAAAAAAAAAAAAAAAAACTGCTATGGGAATGGTATATCTTTCGATCGATTCAAAATAGTATTATTTGAAGAATTTATAAAGAGACCATAATTAATAAAAAGAAAAGAAAACTAGTATATGAACTAAAAATTATTTTGAAATGTACTAACTTATAATTCCTATATAATTTAATATCTCTGTGAATAAGATAATTATATAAACATATAACTGTGAAATTAAGAAATATGTAAAAATAAATTATACAATAAACTGATGAAAAATCAAAAAGTTAAAATAAGATGAAAAACTTTTTATTAATGACCAGTTAAGTCTTGCCTACTTAATAATTTTTGTACCACCACAATTCGGAATTTTAGAAAGTGAGTTCTTGTAATGAAGCAGTATATTGTACTTTTACACATGTACATCAGAGGTAAACTACCTTCAGTAATGCCTAAGTTTTAGAGGAGAACTAAATCAGTTTCAGACCACAGTTTATTGCTTTTTATAAATAATTGTCAATCTTTATATTTGAAATATTGTCCTCTTAATTACTCTTTTAGCTTATTTTCAATCCCCTCAGAAAACATGGCCAGATTTAATGCAAATTCGATAATAAAATCCAAATAAGCAAAATTAAACTTATAATAGATATATTTACCTCTGACATACAGATATATTTATTCATAAATTTGCTTTAAATTAATATTTCATTTATATATGTTAGGTGATCGTGATAGGACTGATGGGGGACTTTCAGAAGGCACAGTAGAAACCATAATTACTCATTCTCCTTCAGAATCTTCATCTCATCTAATATGTATGTAAAATATTATTATAATTAACTTTATCTTGTAGCTTTTAGTTTTAGTTATTTTCTATGATTTTTCAATTTTCATACTAAGAAAAAAGCAGTAGCATAACTGAAATGTGAACTAAACCTTCATGCATATAATATGTGAATTCCCATGGAGTATGTAAAACTTGGCAAATAAACTCCTCCTCCATAAGGTTAATATGTAAATATTTTTACGTCATGTTTAACCTCAATTTTTTTTAAAACTCATTCCTGCTTCCTTGAGAATTGCATTGCAGTATTGAATATACTTATCGTTATCCTATTATAACAAGGACAGCACATAATTTTGATGATATGATTATTTGTATTATACTATTTTTCCAATTCAGGACTTTTTTTTTTTTTGGGTCTTCCCCTTCCTCGCCGCTAAGGCTATACGGGGTTTTGCCGGGCCAGGGGGTGTGAGCGGGGATTTAAAAGACTCCCGGCACCGAGACGCGAACTCGTGTCTATTTTCATATCATAGAGTCATAAATCAGATCGCCGGGCAACGGCGGTGCAGTGCTCACACGTTAGCCCATTTGGCCACCCCACCCACTACTTAATCCAGATCTTTTAACTTGTGTGGGGTTATTTTTTTATAGATACCCTTCATAAAATGTATGGCTATAATGATTGCAGCTAAAGCTAAGATGATCCTGATTTGAAAATTTCTTAATGATCTATAATTTCTTTTCAGTTGCTACAGAATGTCTGCAACCATATCAAGGACGTAATCCTTGTTTGGAACGTAATCTCTTAAGTGATTCTTCTGAAGAAGTTTGTATTATTGAAACTTCAGCTAAAGATTCACGAGAAACTCAAGCTCTTATATCTCATGCTCCTGCACAGCGTATTCTTCGACCACCACCCCCCGTGCCATACCATCAGAATAGTCCTTTTCAGCCTCTTAAACAGGTATTATTTATTTTTAAAATTATGCAATTTCAGTTGTTTTCTCTTCTTCGTGTATTTTAAGATTCTTTATAACATCAAAATCTTTTTCATTATATTTCTTTATATAGTATTAAAAAAGAAGAATCGATCTTATATATGACATTATTCCAAGTAGTTAGCTATATTCAAATAAAATTAAATAAATAACACTTTATTTAATAATTAAAATGATAATTCTCTGGGAAAGTATCTAATAAAAATATTTGTTAACTTATATTAAGGAAAATATTTATATATTGGTTTAAAATCAATTTAATTCAATATTGAATAAAAAAATGATAATGGATGCAGAAAAAAAACTTAAATGTATAAAAAAGTAAGCATTGCGAATGAGGGAGTAAATAGAATTCTAAGAGGAAATAGCTCGATCAGTAAAGGATTTGGTCACTGCTGTTAAATAGAGAAGGAATAGTGGAAGTAGTCCCTGATGAATTTTAGATCTACATAAACTTATATTGTACGTCATATTTATTTATAAACTGGTGCCAGTATTTATTTATTTTCATGTCTGATTTTTTTAATTATCAGACATTGTAATGTCTACCTTCATTTCAGACAAATGAAGAAGTTGGGAGCAACTGTGGAACTGGGGTAGTTTCTCGTTTTTCTGTGCCCCTGAAGAAGCTATTGGGCGGTGAAGGGAAACTTACCGTTTCTCCTTTTGAACCACCTAGACCTACTTCTCTTACACTTTTCACTGAAGAGGAAGAAGCGAGGTTAAGAGAACTTTCTGGTAGAATTGGTACACCCGGAGATCTACCGCCAGCAGTAAGAAAGAAGAGGGGTGAGCGAGCAGCTAGGCTTTCATTGTATGATGATAGAATAATGTCAAATTCTACTTTCTAGTCACTATTATATTGTTCCTTTTCTATATACAGAGATTTTTTTTGTAAATAATGATTTAAATAACCCTGAAGTTTTTTTACATTAAATGTACTTGTTCTTGGATAAAATATTTTCTTTTAATTAATTTTTAAATAGAAAAATGTAATCATGTTTTATATTTTTCTCATTCCCATACTTTATTCTGATTTAATTCTATCTACTTTTGTGTGATTACAATATCTTAATGAATTTTCTTCATAAAAATAATATAATTTGTATTTCTTATTTTTAAAAATAATGTTTAATCAAAGAAATTTAAATATTCCTTGTTTCTAGTAATTTTAGGTAAAATTTTATCTTAGCAAATAATTTATCTACAGTTTTATAAATGAACCTTAGAAAAAATATTGTTTTCTTGATTTTTTAAAAAAATGGATGAATCTTCACTAAAAATACATTGCAATATATAATTAGTACATACATAAATGTTGTAAAATACCATCATTTTATTAGTTCTTAAATTATTTTTTAATACTTAGACTTTCACTGTTTATTAGGCTGTGACAAAAGAAAGTTCTTATCCCCTTAGTTTCTTGATAATCAATGTGTACAATTATCACCTCTTAATCTGAAAACAGGGATGGCATTTTCATGAAATGGAATCAAAATAGGTTTAATGATATAAAACTCTATCGCTTTATCAGGACTAAACGATCATTAATAGGGACTATCTAGGCATTTTTGCTAATTGTTGAGGGTATCAGCTGGGCTAGAAATTAAATTTTAACTTTTATTTTTTAACAATTTCGGTATGACTGAAATCTTTAATTTATTATTTACTGGCATTTGACTCTTGGATCTTATTGTTCAAATTAATGAATTGTTTTTTTACTCAGTTTTGGACACCTGTTCTATTATTCTTACAACAGTAATTATAGGAAACCTAACTAGTGGTCGCGGTTTCAATTAAGCAGAATCAAATGTTTTTATTATTCTAAACTCCTCAGATTGTTAAATTTTTGTACTGCAATAGCATCTCTATTACTACTATTATCCTGTTGGCTGCAGCAGTACTTTTAATTTCAAGTTAATTTATATTACAATATGGTATGTGAACAAACTGCAATTTATGTCATTGTTAGCAGCCATTATATTAAGGAAATGCTGTTCCAACAATAGTCACTGGAAAGGAAGAACTTTTTTAAAGTATATGATATGATCTGATCTTTTGGCTTAAAAAGTAGCTCTTATTAATTTAAATATATATTGCAATAATTAATTTTTTTTTCATATTTAACTGCAACATATAAGTAAAAGCTTAGAACAGTAGTCACAGGAACTGTTTTGTTGAACATTATTAAGAGATAATCCGTATATCTGTTAACAAGAGATATTGTCAACTCTGTCTTGCAATTAAGTTTTGTGTTTTGTAGATTAGTAGTACATGTTTTTACAATAACAACATATATCTTTTGAGTTATTTATAATTAAGTGTTTATTTACCATACACACAATGGTGTTAGTCACATTCATTTCTAATAAGACAAATTATAAAATTTTAACATTTTTTTATTGAAAAAAATATTTAATTTATTTGTTTTTCAATCCTAATTGAAAAAAAATTAATCATGATTTAGTCAATATTAGGGCCTATTTTTAGTCAATAATAGGGCTGTGGGTGGAGCTTCAAGAATATGTTACTTTGTTTTATTTGTTTATCCTTAAAATGCCTTTGAAGTTATGCTTTGTTCTTTATTAAAAGTACAGAAATCTTGAGTTTTTCTTTCTCTCCTTCTTTTTTTAACTTTCCAGAGATTATGCTTATCAATAATCTAAAAAATTCTAATAGTTAATACGATTATGATCTAATTGATCTTCACATTCCATCATCAAAATATTTCATCAACTAGAAATTGTTATTAAAATAAAGATAAATAGTTGTCATTATATATAAATATTTAAGAATTCAGAGAAAGAAAGAAAATGTAAAAACAATTATTACAGGAGAAGAAAAAGAAAAAATATATTTTGCAGGGGGGTTAAATCAATAAATATAACAAATAGTTAAATCTTGAAATTGAAGGAGAAAAACACATCTCTCAAAGTTTGAGTAATTAATAAATAATAAAAAAAAATTCATGGCTTAACCATCACAATACTTCCATGTTGTTTTTCTCTCTTCCCTTATCACAATTTTCTGTTTCTAATATTTTAAAGTAATAATTTTTTTAAGTAACAAAAAATAATTTTGTTACTTTAAAAAGTGTATATTTCCGTAAAAACTCAAGAGGGTAAACCATTGCTTCTTTTTTAATGTTGGATTTCATTGTCTGCCTTTATTAGGTGTTTCTACTAACTAAAAGGGATAACTCCATTTTTAAATAATAATCTTTTTGTAAGTTTATATAACAGTTTATCTTTTTAATATATAGAAAATTTGGAATTTTTCATTTTTAAATGAGATTATGCCAGCCTAGTCTATCTGATGATTGTCGTAACTGTTATTAACTGGTTTGCATTATTATATGATAATTCAAACCAAAATAATAAAAAAAATTAAAAAAGTTAATTTGGATTCTAAGATATAAAACTACATTATAAAGAAGGCAGACCAGAAATGTCAACAATTCATTCTTTAAATGATAAACGTTTTTTTGTTTTTGTATTTTTTCTTTGCAAAATTTTAAAATCATCCTTGTTTTGTTTGTAAATGTCCCAAATATCATTTGCATTGAACTTAGCAAAATTTCCTGGCATTAGAGAAGTTTACTACATTACTTTCATTTTAATTTTAAACTTAATCTTACTATCTTAAAAAAGTAAGAATTTTCAATAACATAGCATAAAGCAGGGTAATATTATTTTAAAAACTAATATGATACTTGATATATAAATGTTTATTGCACTGATGAGCCTGTTATATTAACTATTAATTTAATCAGCCTAAAAATTGATAACCAAGTATGTATCTTAAATATATATCTTATTTAACTGCTTAATAATTAATAGTTTTTTATTAAATGTATTCTTTGACATTTTTTCTGAACTAGTTTAGTGTAATTTTCTGCTAAGTTATTTCTAGATATTGAAGTAAAAGATTTATTGTGATTTTAGGTTATAAACTCATAATTTTAGTTCCTCAACTGAGAGCTCCTTATTTTTTATTTTATTATTTTTTTTGTTAAAATGTGATCACAAACTAATGCTAATGGTAGTCATTTATTATTTTTTTTTTTGTAAAGAAACAGAAAAAGGTAAAATAAAGGGGAAAAACTTATATAAGTTCTAGTTGTTATAATGAGACCATGATCAAATGTGTCTAATTGTTTCTTTATTTTCACTTGATACTGTGAAGTAAAATCAACTTTTCTAAGTATTTTGTGTTTCTAAATTAATGTTAGCATTCTAGGAATTTAAATTAGCATTCTATGCTGAATACTTATTTTTATTTCTGAACTCAATATATGTTTCAAAAACAATGAAAATATTATAATTTTGTTGTAAAATTGTTTCTTAAATTTTATTTATTTGTTTTATTTTAAATCATACTGTAAATGATTCATGTATTTAAATCTTGTTATTATATGTTTTACTAAGGAAAAGTTGGTCCGGGTGTGGTGAAAAAAAATTCATAAATAGTAAAAATTATTAAAATTTCAATAATTAGTTTATAAATAGACTTTCTTCATTTTTTTTTTTTTTTACCACTGTTTCTTAATGACCTGCACTCGGACCATATTCTCCTTGATTATCAATATAGTCATTTATTAAATATGTATTTTATTTTATGTTTTTGTTTATATATACAAACACATCAGCAATAAATCATTGATTATTTAGTTTTCATGCAGTGATTTTAATCTTCTTTTCTTGATTTTCTTCCTAAATTATTCTATCAGTGATTTAAAAATGGTATCCTAAAAGTCTACCCAATGGTACCCTAACTTCATAATTATTAAGTTCTATAAAATTTCAGATCTCTATTCAAATAAATTTATCAGACTCAAAGATTTGAAAACGAATCTTTATATAGAAAAAAATTTCATTTCTATTGTTATAACTTGATAAAGGTGTGTATTAATAAATGAAAGTGCAAAAAAAAAAAAAAATAATAAAATAATTTTAGAACCCTTCGTACAATATTTATTGAAGGAATTATATGGCTGGAGTATGAAAATTCTTCTTCTTTTATTGGCATACATGTTCATGAAGCATAAACTTGGTGGTACGGCTAACAAGTTTGCTTTTGATCAGCCTTAAAATGGAGGAATAGGCTCTACTTAATGCTGTTATTCTGCTTTTAACCTCTTCTTCTTCATTCTGGCTATCGTTGATGATTGAGCCAAGGTAAGAAAAGCTTCTGCCCACTTCAAAATTGTAGGGGCCCATTACAAAGGGGCTCTGCCTCTGATCCAGTTACTTCTTACCTATTATCATAATCTTCGTTTTCTCGCCATTAATATGCGGGCCGATCTTTTTTGCCTCAGGGCGAAGATTTGCTCAATAGTAGACCTATTGGGCCGGAAACCACCCAGTTTCTGTTCAAAATAAGGAAGGAGCCTGTTGTACAAGGATGTGAAAAAAATTTTAAATGTAAACTAATCCCTCGATAGTTGCTGTATCTCGCATCTTCTTCTATACAGGCATTACTACAGCCTCATTTCATTCCTTATATATAGTCTCTCTCTTCTTCTCATATCTGAGCTATCAGGTTCCCTTAAATAATTCTGCTGGATGGGTTGTTATTTTTTAATTTACATTAGATATTTTTGATGTCTTCTACATCAGGTGGAATGGTTTCCAAATCATTATCATTAATACCCACTGGTAATAATAAGAACCCTCTGCTTCTCTCGGTTCAGTAAAGTTTTGAAATATTGAAGGAACAGGAAGATTAGGATATAACATTGAAGATAAGCTACTTATATAATAAAGTAAACCGTTGAAGTTTTTATGCTTCAGTTTGTCTATGTTTTGCTTTATTTATGGATGAGTGATGTTCTTGTGGATGTGTGGCTTAGTCCATACTTGTATTTAGTTTTCATTATTTTTATTTCTGGATCCATTCAATATTCATAGACATGACTAAATAAATTGGGTGTATATATAACTATAATACATCCTTGAGAATTTTATTTCTGACAAAATAATTAATTACTAGGCTAAAATGTGATATATATTATCAAAAAGTTATTAAGACATTGCTCACTTTTAACTTTGATGACAACTTCAATTTAAATAAAAAAGCTAACAATGAAGGTACTTGATATATATATATATATATATTGTCAGTTTATTACAAAACGTTAAGTTAAATTTTTAAAAAATAAATCATTAAATATTTGATTTTTTCCTGAAACTTTATGTACTTAATAAGTTTCTGCAACAATAAATATGATATAAATTTACCAAAATATACTTAAAGTATGTACAATTCATCAGAAGAGAACTCATTGACTTTTGCAATAAACTGACAATTTATTCTGATGATTTAAGCAAGTCTTTATGGGGTTTGGAGTGGCAACTAAAATCAGGAACTGAGATTAACATCTGTCAATATTGGTATGGTTAAAGTTACAAGTATTATGTACAAAATTTGACTTGATCTCTTTCGCTTAATGAAATATAATTTATTAAGAGTATGAGATGATTTTAACTACATTCAAACCTTTCTACTGAAAATGTGATTAAAATATCTTTCAGTTTATCTCTTACGTCGAGTGCAACTGGTAAGTTTTGACTATGTCAAGGGAAAGGGATTGGTATGGCTTATATCTCCTCCAAATGTCATTCTGATTATAACCTTTACTTCTTTCTTGAGTAACAATTTATTTTATCTTAATCCAGAGACTCCTTTTCATCAATTATCATGTACCTATAATTTCAATCAGACTTCAAAATTATTAGATTCTTCAAGAAAATAAATAACATAAATGTGCTACTCAATGAACAAGTAGGATCACTAACAAGAAATTATATTTCTATATTATCCAAGATGCCTAAGGAATCTGAAGACTAATCACCTGCATTTCTCTTTTTAATAGGTAATAGTTATAAATTGAAATGTTAGACTTCAAATGTTCTAAAGAAACTTTACTGAGTCTTGATATCTGCATCGAAATCTATTAAAACACAAGTTGTACCATCTCAATTTGTCAGAATTTTAAAAGCTAAAATATCCATTGACTTTTAATAAAGTTTTAGTTACAACAAATTAAAGGATTGAAGGGTTTTATTACTTCTCCATGTTATTTTCCCTTTCTACTGACACTTCATTTGTCAAATATGATTTTACTGGAGACCAGAAAAGAGATCTATACTCACTATGTCAAAAATAGGAAATAACAATACACATTATAGGCAGATAAGGTTAATAAACTAAAATCAGTTAATATATCTTATAATTAGCTGAATAGTTACAACTTAAATTAATATCACAGACAATTTAGAATTTACAAAATATATCAACTATTATAGGAACTATAAAATATATTAGGCATAACATTACTTTCAATAATTACAAATATCTACTTCTGCTACTTTTAATAAGAATCATAAAGACATCAGAAAGAATAAACGGTATCAGAAACCATAATGGAATCATAACATATAGTGTAGAAATGTTTGAAACTACATTTTCTAGCTTTAAGCATAAAATGGCTTGAGATATAAGTTTTAAAATTATAGCCAATAAATAATACAGCTTTCGCTGTACTGAACTTGACAATGCTTCATGGCCTGAACGACAGTAGGACATCATGTTAAGAAAAACATAAGATAAGAGAATAGAGTCATAAAACCAAAGTGGTATAAACACAATAAACCAGTTCCACTGTATCCTAAGGTCTAATCTCAACACTAAGAGGATGAGGAATACAAGCAGCACAAACCATGTAAATAGCGCTCTGTGGAGTACAGCCATTCTAAAAATAATGTTAATTATTAAGAAATTGTTTTAATTAAATAATAAAATGAAGTAAACTTACTTAACTGAATAAAATCTTACCTTTCTAATGTTTCATTAGAAATCCAGTTATACTGTTCTAGATATTTAATAGGTTATAAAAGTAAACTAAAGTACCCTAAATTAATAACCATATTTATAGATCCAACAAAATTAGAGCAGATATAATAGACATATATTAATGAAGATTAAATTTGAGCAGTGTTCATATAAACAAAAAAACATGACAATCAGTGCCGAGTAGTTCAGACGAGCAAAGTTAGTTCTGAATGTTCTTAATGATATGGGTCTTATGAGACCAGATTGTCCGATAGATTTATTTTTTATAAGTTTCAAGATGGTGCAGGATTCGTTAGAAAATGAAAGGTTGGCGAGGAACATCAGGTACTTTGGGAAATTATGGGGCTTGAAACTTCTCAGTGGCCCGATGGATGCGATTAGATCTTTAGCCCTATACACTGCTGTAATGTGATGGTTTTAGGGCTGCACCAAGCAAGTCTAGATCTGTGCTTGGAAAACTTCCAACTTTCCAATTTGGATAAAAAAAGGTTTATGATTTTCAGTATTTCAACAGTACTGAGTTATTCTTGTTTAGAGCCTTCTATGTGCAGTATAGACCTCTTTTCCACCTCTAGGCAGCGAAGTATTTTGAGAAACGGTGTGTCCAAAGAAATCGAATTGCATGAAGAAATAACAAATCCCGATTTGAGAGATATAATTGACCTACATTAAAACTGTTGATAACCAATGGACGCAAAATTTGATGTTCTACAACTTTGATTTCATGAGTTTTCCCTCTTAGGGAACTCGTTTCCAAGATACAGGGACATTTATAGTAATTTGTCACAGTTTTTGACAAATTTAGTAAACATCACCGTTCGTTGACCGTGGTATCATACAACTTCACCAAATTACAAGGTTTAAGTACTTGTTCGACGCACAATTTAACATTTTTTAATTTCTTAAAGAGTACATTTTTTGGTTTGTAAAAAAACAAAGAAAAATATGGCATTTTTGGCAGTAAAAAGTTGTCCCTTGGTTGCTCTCACTAGAAATTTTGGTTTTACATGTCTGAATCCATCCACACAAGTTATAAAAATGACCTTTCACAAATTTTATGTAATATATTTCCCGTTTTGATCTACAAACTACTGACCTATGTTATGTTCTTTAAATCAGCCGCCATTTTTGAAAATCACGGCTCTGGAATAGCAGGCAAGGTTCATTTTACTTAATATAATATACAATTTCGAAATAACTATCCAAACCTTCGCCTGTAATCACATCGATTTTTTGGCCTTAGCTCATTTGCTAATAGGCCTCAAAAGGTCCGCGGATCCATTTTCGTCGTGTTAAATAAATAAAAGTATAAATCTCTGGTACAAAGAAGTATCCTACTAAATAATTCAAAATATTACGAAATTTAGTGATATTCGTTGCGTTTATTTAACATTTAAGGAAAATAAGTATCAGCATTCGTTTGGTAGAGACTATCAAAGGAGTATACAGTAACAATCGGATGAAGTCCAGGTGACCCCCAGTCACCCATTTAACCTAGCCCTCAAAAAAGCTATAAGAGCTATTAGAACTAATCCTGAATAATAATAAAGGGGGATAAAAACAGGTCAATAATATTCAACGTGAAAGGGGCCTTTACAATACATTAAGCATAGTGCAGTTCAGTTCTATGGCTGTAGATAGCATGGGCGTAGCATTTAGACATCTTGACTGAATATTATGTTGATTTAGCTCTTACCAGGTGATAGAATCGATATTCAGGTTTGAGCAAAGTGTGTAGGTTTATTGTTCAATCCAAGATTAATAAATTCTATTGACTTGAAATTTTATAGATAAAGTCGTAAGTCTTTATCTAAACTTGCCAAATGGCTGCTTTTCCAGGATCCATTGCATTTGATGAGTATGGTAGACCATTTATTATCATCAAAGATCAGGAAAAACAAAGACGTTTAACCGGTAATGATGCCATCAAGGTAATATTACGTTCAATGCTTCTTAATTGTATTTAATTATTTGTCATATTTGAAGATTGTAAATATTTCAAAATGTAAGTCTAAATCAAGATTTTATCTATTATATGACTTAGTAGGTGGAATGTGGGCTAAGGATATCACAACCACATGGTGACCAATTTTGATTTTTTTTGCTTTATTGTAAAATATTTTAAATTATCTATCATTCATAAATGATGTATAAATGAAAAATTGTGGTTCTTGTGAGAAATATTCCTTATAATAATATGGGGGAGATTATTACTAAATTCTGTTCTATTACCAGATTTACATCATTGTTGAAAATTTTATTTTATTGGGGCAGTTTTCTTCTTATAATTTAATTTCCTCTTCAATGTGGTGGCTGAGCAGAAAAAAATGTCGATTATGATAACACTTTATAAGTGTTTGATAGGTGGGTACAAGATTTCATGATCTTAAGCATTTTGAGAATGGCTAAATATTGATATTTTAACAGTTATGATCTCATTTTGATCCTTATTTGCAAACTCCCTACTGGTCCTTTTCAGTTCAGATCTGTGCCTTAATTAGCTTTATTTGTATTCTTCCTTTCTGCTTATGCCCACTCAAAAGAGATAAACAAACTCTAATGGCTGTTTTTTGTTCTCAGTTATAGTTGTGCCCTTAACGTTTGGTATAAATCAGCACAGACCTATCAGTCTTATTTGATTTATTTTGGACCAAAATTTTTGTGTTATCACATTTCATATCTGAAATTATACTTTGATAAGCTTAGTATAGTTATATTTTAGAATACTTTTATAATTATATCAATTGATTGAAGAATATGTTAAGATATTTGGTTTTGCTATCTATTCAAAGCAACAGTGTCAGTGACAGTTTCATCTCAGGGGCCTGGTATGAACCCCTTGGAGAGTAGTGCCACCTGTATCCTGAGTTCATGGTCAAAAAAGTGATTGAAGGATATTTAACCTTTGTTTCGAACCCACCAAATAATTGAAATAACTGGTATAAAAAACAAAAACATTTTGAGTAATTTTTTTTTAGACATTATATACTGTTGTTTAAAAACCTCTGTCAACTAACAAAAAATACAAATGTCTTAACTTTAAAGGATTTTTATTAAATGAATTATTTGAATAAAAGCAAAAGGTTTGGAGATCTATAATTATTTCGGGAACCACAATGTGAGTAAGAACCTATGTCTGTAGAGAGGGAGGGGAGGATTGGTTGTTATACGGAAGAATTTGAACTAAGCTTAAGCTTTTTACCACCATTTTTTAGTTTTTTTACTGTGTAACTAATTTTAGAATTCCAAATTTATCATCATATATATTATTGTTTTATTTTAGAGCCATATACTCTCAGCCAAAGCAATTTCCAAAATTGTTAGAACTTCCTTGGGTCCAAAAGGTTTGGACAAACTATTGGTGTCGCAAGACGGTGATGTTATGGTAAGCAATGATGGAGCTACCATCATGAAGCAAATGGATGTGGATAATGAAATTGCAAAACTGATGGTGCAACTGTCTCAATCCCAAGATGATGAAATTGGAGATGGAACTACAGGAGTTGTTGGTAAATATAAATTAGTTTATTTAATTTTCTCATAAAATACTGTTTCATATATTTTATGTTGTATTAATTTGTGTTCTATTATATTGTCTTCATCTGCTGTAGGTCTTAATTATGAAAATTTTAAAAAATAATTTAAACTATTTCGTGTCATTATTTATGTTTATATATAATTATACTGCTTAAATACTTAATAAAATTAATAATAACTAATGAAAAAAACAGCATTAATTTTAAGTAATGATCAAATAAGAATAATTTATCCACAATAATTTAATAAAGCTATTTTTTTTTTCCTACGCCTATATAACGCCTGCTTGATCAGCCATGTGTGCTCTTGCAGTCCAATATAATTTTTCTTTCCTAGCATAAGGGCTGTCCATTTCAATAAAGGAGCATTTTATGTCTTGTAATGCAGGGCATGTATCAAGATGTTCTCCTGTCATAATATCCAAGGAACACAGAGGGCATGTCGGGCTATCATTTATACCGATGCGGTGGAGGTGCTTCTGAAGGAAATCATGCCCTATGAGCATTTTAAAGTATTCCACGGCTTGTCCTCTAGAGAGGTCTCTAGGGATTTAATAAAGTGATGTGATGTTTTAATGAAGAAATCTGAGATTGTGTCGAAACAAGTGCTGTAAAGCTTAGGTTATAATTAATGATGTTTTGATTTCTCACTTGAAGGTTTAATCTTATTAATGATAATTGGAAATGCAAAAGTGTATAAGTGCATTCAGCAACATTTTTCACTATTCAAGTTCCAATTTTTGCATATTTCTATAAAACGTATGAATTTATTAAAAAGGATCTTCTTCTCCCATCACATGGCATTATGGAGGTAATAAAATCGCAATTGTAATAATGCATGTCTTGGCTCATAGACTTGTAATTTGTAAAGAATAAATTTGTCTTTTCAATTTGGCAAAGGACACTTAGACCCTTTTGCGCTTTCATATCTATATTTATTATTTTGTTTTTACTAAACTGAAAAATAATTCATTAATTCCACATTTAAATTAAAAATGATTCTGTATCTGTAATTATTTTTTGTTTCAGTTCTTGCTGGTGCTTTGTTAGAACAAGCTGATGTTTTATTAGATAAAGGTATTCATCCTATTAGAATTGCAGATGGGTATGAATTAGCTGCTCGAGCTGCCATAGAACATTTAGATTCTATCGCCACAAAATTTCCTGTTGATCCTAATAATTTAGAACCTCTTATTAAGACTGCTATGACAACTCTTGGATCAAAAATGTAATATCATAATTTCTTTTTATTTCATTTTTTGTATTAAGTATTTCTTGATTTTTTATTAAATTTCATTAACTTTTTAGCGTTAACAAATGTCATCGCCAAATGGCAGAAATAGCTGTTAAGGCAGTATTATCAGTGGCTGATCTGGAAAAGAGGGATGTCAACTTCGAGCTCATAAAAGTTGATGGTAAAGTCGGTGGAAGGCTGGAAGATTCTATGCTTGTCAAAGGTGTGGTCATTGATAAGGATTTCTCTCATCCCCAAATGCCAAAGGTTAGCTCACTTCATAACCACGTGTTTGTTTAATTTATCACAGTCTTAAGTCTTAAAGTTGGTGTTTATCAGATTTCAGTTATCAGAAAACTTTATATTCTCTTGAAATCATATTGTTATATGATATTCTCAGTTTCTTGTTTTGAATCAATAATTAGCTTAATTTTCAAATATCCAAATTATCAATTTTAAATGTTACATGATTTTGTTAATATTTCCGTCTTATGTTTATTTTCTTTGTTTCTTAATGTATTGAAACTCATTTCAGGTATTAAAGGATGTTAAAATAGCAATCTTAACTTGCCCATTTGAACCGCCTAAGCCAAAAACAAAACATAAGTTGGATGTAACATCTATTGATGACTATAGGGCGTTGAGGAAGTACGAAGAAGAGAAATTTAATACCATGGTTTCTCAAGTAAGTGTAAATATTATGTATGTATTATTGTGATTGGATTCTTTTTTCAATCAATAAAAAAAAAAATTGATTCCAATGAAGAATACTGCGTGTTGAGAAGCTTGAGGTGTTGATGATTTATCAGGCTTCGCTTTCGTGAAGTGTGTTAATCATTTAACAGACTTCGCTTCCGTGAAGCTTTAAAGTTTTCAATCTGAGGAATCTATTCATGTCAACTCATAACAACTTAAAATTATTTAATTATTAAAATGTTGACAATAATGTTTTTGGTTTCCTTGTGTATAGGTCAAAGAGGCAGGTGCTACTCTTGCTATTTGTCAATGGGGATTTGATGATGAAGCAAATCATCTTCTTCTAAAGAGAGAACTTCCTGCAGTTAGGTGGGTCGGTGGCCCAGAAATCGAGGTAATAACACTTCTCAACTATTTAATTACAGCTTTCATTGGTAAAATTTGAACTTCTGTTCACAAGTTAAGATTTATTTAAATTGATAAATGAATTATTTGAAATGAAAAGTATGAGTTATATGTAATAAATATGTATACATATATTACAGTCATTACTAATATTACAGGTTGTGATACAATCTTGTATATGAGCCTTTCGGTTAATAGAATTATCAACTCCAATTTCAACATTTTTTTTACTTTCACTTACGAATATATGTAATATATAGTAAGTGTAATTATTGCGATCGTGAAAATTTTTGAATCTGACTTTTCAAGGGAAATACACATTTTGAAATACCCTGAGTCCAAATAACCAAGTCCCGAAAAATGGTCTCTGTGTTTATGTATGTTAGCAGTCTAGCTCAAAAATGAAAAGTCGTAAAAAACTGATATTATGTATTTAAGATAGGTATATGCCTTAGATATGGCAGCAACATTTTCCTTAAAATAAACTAACCAGAAGTGTCACTTAAATTATTCAGTTATATTAAGTGTCACTTAATATATCAACGCTGAAACACATTTTTACAATTTTCTCAAAAACGGCTCTAACGGTTTTGATTAAACTCGGTGTATCATTGTATAATTAAATGGTCTTGAATATCAATCAGGTCTTATCCCCTTTGATGTCACTTTAAAGGGCTTAAATGCCCAATGTTCATATACGTCTTCCTTTAAAGTACCTTTAATATGGTTTATTTAAAAAAAAAAATAATCATCTCGCATTATTCAGAGTTATGAAAAAATGATAAATATAACTTTTGATAATTGGATAAAGGAGAAAAAAATAAAAATGCTTATCCAGGTCGAAAAGTTATCCTTTTTTGGAAATACTAGTCAGAAGGTATACATATAATATATCATTGGAAAGCAGAGAATTTTAGAAAAAAAAAAGTATCTAATATAGAAAGTTGTAGAAAGTAAAGGAGAGTTGCAAAAAAATTATAAATAATAATTTTTGAAAACTATTAATATTTAACGTAAATGACATGTTTTCAAGGAAATTAAATGAAATTTACTAACTAAATGTAATCTTTTAAAATATTTTCAAGTTTGAAAAAAGTATTTAAAATCCACCTAATCAAGGCAATGACATTGTTTAAAAAATCTTCATTGTACTTGTGTGCAAGAAGAAGTAAAATATAAAATCATTTCAGGGATGTATATAGCATATATTTATAACCTTAAATACATTTACTGTAATTTAATAATTCTAGATCTGATATTATATTTAAATAATTATGTATTAATGTCCTGATTAAGCTTACTTATTTAGAAGGCCTTTAGCTTACTCATAGGTATTCCGAAATATTGTCATGCAACTTTTTAGAAAATTAAATTGAATAATTTGATGAATCTTTTCTTTGTGATATTCCAACAATATCCACTCCTATTTCATGGATACGTTAATAACCTTAAATATATTTACTGTAGTTTAATAACTCTATGTCTGATATTATAAATAAATATTTAGGCATCTATCCTCCGTTAATTTCGAAAAATCATCTTTTAGAAAATTAAATTGATGAGTAGTTTGATGAAATTTCTTTTTGCGATATTCCAACAGAATCCACTTACAATTAGTGTAATAACTTTTGACCTGTCTATGACAGACAATGCAAATCTCTTAATTCCATTTTAGTAAACTTTTCAATGGAAAACCAGTTTAATAACTAATAGTCATACAATCCATAATCAACGGATTATACAATCCATAATCAACCGGTGATAAAATAAATAGGACTTTTGTTATTTTAATGGTATTTATGATTTGTTAGCTGTAATTTTTTAGATTTAGCTCGGTTAAAAATGCAGTTAAAAAAAATAGCACATGGCCAGAAAATAATTTCTATTCTAAATTGAGCGGTAAGTGAAACTTGTGTGTTGCGCACACCAGATTTTTATTATTTATTTTAATGATATTTCTAGTGTGAACTTTGTACCTTTTTGTATTCATTCTATATTGCAACACTGCAATCACCTACTCTGGAATCAACTTGTTCACTGTCTGTACAGATATTATAAATTTAAAAACATCGCTAAAATGATTTTACTCAAAAATGTTGAAATTTATTTATCGAGTTAGTCATTTTGTCAACTGAAAGGCTTATATCATATTTAAAAATAAAGTACATATCTTAATAGTATAGCAACTAAAGTTCTTATGATGCTAATTATTTTTGTATTGTAACATAAACTTAATTTTTAATATTATAGTTGATTGCCATTGCAACTGGTGGACGTATCGTACCCCGATTTGAAGAGTTGAATCCTGAAAAACTTGGTCGTGCTGGACTTGTTAGAGAAATCTCTTTTGGTACTACAAAGGATAAAATGCTTGTGATTGAGGAATGTGCCAATTCTCGTTCTGTCACAATTTTCATTAGAGGTTCAAACCAAATGGTATGTCCATAGTATGCCTATATTCTTTATTATAATGTTTAAAAAGGCTTTTGAAGAGACTTTCTTATCCATATCAGTAATAATTCTGGGAAGTTATCTTTTTTAGTTAAATAATAATATCTAAACATTAAAATTTTTATAGCTGGCAATATTAATTTAAAACTTTTTGTTTTATTCTAGATAATCGATGAAGCTAAGAGGTCAATGCATGATGCACTTTGTGTCGTTAGAAATTTGATTTGTGATGACAGCATTGTTTATGGTGGAGGTGCTGCTGAACTTTCATGTTCTATTGCCACTGCCAAACAGGCAGATAAGGTATACAGATTTTATATAATTTTCTGTTGTAAAGTTTTTCTTCTTGAGGGTTTATAAGTTTTTAAAAATAATAGATATTGATTTTGATTTTTTAGTATATATTTTGAAATGTCATAAATAGAGACCGGATTTTCTTGCAGTAAAAATCCGAAAAACGTGTAGCAAAAAACTCAAAATTATGCAACAAAAATCCAAAATACGTATAATTTTCTAATTAACACCTAAAAGCGTGCAAAATCATCAATATTGTTTAATTTATAATATTAATAGATCAAAATCTAATCAGATCTTGAGTTTAATGAGAGATAAAAAAAAATTAAAATGTAACATTAAAAATGAAATTTCTGATTATAATCAACAAATGACAACAATATATAATATAATACAAAAATAAATTGCAATTAACCTAAATCTTAAAGAAAGAAAAATTTAAGCAATAATAAAGATTACATAAATCTAACATTGACTCAATATCTTTTTCTATCATTTAATAACCAAAATTTCAAGATAAAACAAAAGAAGGAAACATATATTTTTCTCTCTACAGAAGAAGGTCACAATAATTAACAGACAAATAATCTAATATATTTGTTTGAATTGTCCTTCAATTGGTTGTTTAGTCAATTGCCTGCCATACTAAGTATGAGATAATGCAGAACATAAAAGGTTTGAAGGAATTATAGGTACCTATATATTATATAGACCTGAACAATTTTAGGCCAGCACTGCTTAATACAATAAGGACTCCGACAATATTATGTAAATATACATATGAGGTTTTCATAAATGCTATTGTTGGTATTATTTAATATTTAATTGTCTAGATTACAGCAATATAAATATTAAAATTTATATATACAAGGGCACTTATACAAATAAAAATCCCTACAATGAAATATAAATCAATATAGCATTTATAATTTTTAATTTCACTTCCCCTTTGTCTCAAAATACTTATTTCTGCTAATAAGTGGGAGTTTAGTGAAAGATGTGTGATGCATCAAATTTTTTTCCTATCTTTTCTACAGTTAGCGTCTATCAGTCATTTTCTATTACACCTGATTTATTTTTCAGGCGTAGAGAACTTCATAACATGATATTCTTTGTTATGAAATTTCAACTCTGGGTATTTTTTATAGTCAGATTTTAATTTTTGGGGAGACTAGATTTTATTCTCAGCATTATTGATTTTTTTTATATTAATGTAATTACTATTAATCAATTTAAAACTAGAAGGGATCCTGAAGGGCTGAATGAATGAGTAAGAATTCAAGTCAAAACAATAACAATAAATGTTTTACTAACAAAATAGCTTATTGTAGGAACTTTTTATTATTCAATACTTTAGGCTTGTTCTAGTCCATGAATATTTCTCACTTGTAGTTTACTTCTTCCTTTTGTAATGTTGAATTCAATATTTGCTTGTCACAGAATTATTTACCTTCCTCATATTTTCCTATCTTGAATTAGGAATTTAACATGAACAATATAGTACAACAAGAAGGTAAATATTAACACATACGTATACATTTGTATTTATGAATCACCTAATTTATCACAAAACTGAAAAAAATTGCAATTTAATGTCACAAAAGTTAAAATTGTGCAAAAATTTAAATATGTTATTCTACAGATCCTAAAATGGTTAGATTCTGTCATGATTAGTTTCTGGTCAGGAGTTTATACACACAAGCGAATAAATATACAATAACATGAAAATCTGCTCTCTAGTCATAAAGAATATTAACATACATATTTTAATAAAATATTACAGCTCCTAGGCTATTTCTTTGTAATCTGCAGTGAAACCTCTCTTTAAGGGACACGTCTATTTACAGGACAATTTTAAATACACTGGAATTGGAGAATATGTGTAAAAAAAAACAAAAAAACTTTAGATTAGAGGCATCTCTTTTTAAAGGACAGAAAATGAATCACCAAGACTTTGTGGTATCCGGAGGTTTCACTGCCATTACTTAATTAGCCAGTGAATACCTTGGCCACTTATTAAAGGCTATCCCCCAATCCTCCACTCTTCTATTTTATTATGGTTCTCTTCTCTTCCTTATCTTTGTCTTCATTTACTGGTAAAAGGTATCATTATATGTCAGAGGAATTAGCTAACACCATTAGTCAATGTTTTCTTGTATGAAATTCTTTTTAATGAAAAATATGTTGCCTATTCACTAATTAATTTTTTTTTTTTTTTGTCAATTACTTTGTTGTTTAGATTTCAACAATTGAACAGTACGCATTCCGTGCATTTTCTGAAGCTTTGGAGTCCATTCCTTTTGCTCTAGCAGAGAATTCAGGTTTACCACCAATGCAGGTTGTAACTAGTGTAAGAGGAAGGCAAATCCAAGAAAACAACCCTGCACTTGGTGTTGATTGTATGGGGAAAGGAACTAATGGTGAGCCATAAATTATAAAATATATCTCTTTTATTTCTGTTTCTTAGTTGATATTTACAGAACTTTTTTCGCTAAACAGAATAAGTGTGTTTATCAAGTTTCATGAAAAATTTACTAACTTATTTGAAATTATTGATTTTAGAGTTATCAACTTCTGAACATTAGTTATAAGTTAACTTCCTTCCGATTATGCACAGAAATAATACTATTATATTATTAATAAAAGGACATCTCTTTTTTTTTTTTTTTTTTTTTTTTTTTTTTTTGCATAAATGGTCCGTGTTGTCCCAAGAAGATTTTAAGGACTGCTGAAATCCTCAATATTGCCAAAATAAATAAAGTTAAAAAAAAATTTATACCTGCTTAGAGGGCTTTGTGAGCTTATATATCATTCTTGATAAATTCACATTTGGCTGTTGTTAATTAAAAATGCCACTGAAATGATAAAATATTGATTACAGTCCAAATTTGGCCAAGAGTGCTAAATAATATCTTAATTAAACAATTATTAACTTTTCATCTATTATATCAATCAATTTCTGTTCTAAACTCGGTCAGCTAACATGATTGATTTTCATGTTCTCAGTTTTTCTTGTTTCAAGTTACCCTTTTTTAATTATGTGTATATACAATATGAATAACCATATGAGTGGTTTCATATCGTAGATAGAAATCTGTCATTATCAGAAAGCAGAGAAAAAGTAAATTTTTGTTTTATAACTTCAACTATTTCTGGATGATTTGATTTAAGAATGTTCAAGGTGAACCATAAAAAAAAAAAAAAAATCATTAGAATTGGTTTAAATGGAAGTTATGTTGCAGAAAATTGGCATTTTCTCATTATAGAATTCTAGCATTTTTAAAAATTATAGATGTCCGTATGATATTAAGCCACTCATATAGGTAGCTATGTGAAATGATAATCTTTTTAATTCTAGAAATAAGCAAATGTAAGTTGTAATATTAATCTTCTGTTCTTAATATTAGTCTCCATCCAGATGTTTATGGATAAATCCTTCCTTAACCTTCTCGACAACCTAAAATATATTAAAGTTGATATACATCTATAAAATGTTGCGATTATAATTATTTTACTTTTGTTTCAGATATGAAAGAGCAGCATGTTATTGAAACACTTAAAAGCAAAAAGCAACAAATAATGCTTGCTACACAATTGGTGAAAATGATACTTAAAATTGATGATGTCAGAACACCTAATGATATGCAATATTAACTTATTTTTCTTTTCTACCTCGCCTTAAGTTACTTTAATAAAACAAAAAATTACAGCTTTATAACTAACTTAATTTGAAATAAACACTTTTTTATACTAAATGTTCTCTGTATTTCTCCTAAGTTTTCACTCTATCACTTTATAGATTATTATCTTAAGTCAAATTTTGATAAGACGAACTGGCTAGACCATTTGTTAAATATAGATATGAATAAAATAAATTTAGCTGATAAAAAAAAAAGAATGAAATACTCTTATTTTTAATTTTTATTTCGCAGTTTTCATAACTCATTTAAACTTTTCTATTTCTTGTTTGATTATAAATCCATTGCTTACCACTGACTTATGTCTATCGATTACTAATCTATTTATAAACGGCCCATTAATATTTATCAATTTTTACTAATCGTTAAAAAATTGAAAGTGTGTTTAAAATTCTCTAAGGAATTATAAATGATTTAACAGGTAATACCAGAAAATAATTTATTGAGTTGTTAGTATATCTTTATTTATATGTACTTGATTTTTATCATCGATGTTGACTTCATGGACCTTTGTTATAATTTTTTTTTCATTTAAATATTAATTTGTCACTTATACTGAGATAATGTTACAATTTCATTATAGGATAACTTTGTCTATATGAGCTCACCTAAGGGAATCATAAAAAAAATAATTAAATAGGTATATTTATTTTACAAAAAGGTTAAATTTTTGTTTTATGTCTCCTATTCCTCAAAGCCTTCTGTTCTTCAAACATTTTATTTATTAAAATTTGCGCCTGTACATTAGGGATTTTCTGCAACAATTTCTAACCATGCTCAAGTTTCTACAAAACAAAAAAAAATTAAAATATTCAAATCATCCAAAGGATGTAATTAAATATTCATAGTAAAGAGCTAATCTTAAAAAAAAAAAAAATCCAATTAAACAAAATCAAAATAGGATGAAAAGGAACTTATATTAATCAGCTTGGATAAACGAAATATAATTTTCTTCCTAAAATATAAAAAATTGAATTTTTTTGGTGTAAATATTTGTGAAATATATAAAATACAAATCAACTTTGTGTAAGTAAATTATATATTTTTAAAACAATCAGCTCACACAAGGTAATAAATTAATGTATCTAATAGTTTGCATTTAATTTAACATGTTGAATGAAATAGGAAATTATTTCCTGCCTAACATCTGTACCAGGCCAAAGGTCAAAGAAAGTATATAGTCAAATTTGGTCATGTAAAGTAAATATTGTATCAACATTTTTTTAACATCATCTATTAATGTGATAGAATTTTAGATGTGTTGAATATTGATATTAAAATTGTAATTTGTAATTTTATAAATCTTTAGGATTGAATTTTTACAATTTTTGAAATTGAATCATAAATATGGTTTTAAATTTATCTAGATTAACTCATGATAATTTTTATAAAAATGAGAAATAAGCTGAATTATGTTTTTTTCTCATTGCTTCGACTTTAAGGTGAGTCTTTATGATTTGAGTGGGAGTTTGAAAAGTAATATCCTTTTTTTGAAAAAAAGAATTAACTTTTAATTTCATTGAATGAAGGGTTTGGTGATAAAATAGATATATTATTAAGCAGATTGAATTGTCCGCAGTACTGAAAATGAAACCACAAAATTGAGATTACTAAAAACTTAAATATAGTTCTAAATTAATTGTGAATATTTAAATAATTTTATAAAAACTTAAAGAATAGATTTAATTACGTTTCTTTTTCTTCTTCCTTTTCTTCTTTTTTATTCATATTTTCGGGTGAAAGTCTGCTTTTTGATTGAGTGCTACTATAACATCGAGTTAAATTGAAAACATGATAATGTATCTTTAAAATACAAATATATATACATAGATATAGGGTAAAGGCAACAATCTAGGTATGTCAACATAAAATGATGGTATGTCTGTTTGTTCTTTATGCATTACTAAACCATTTATCCGATCGCTATAAAACTTTTTGACGTTGCGTACACTCTCGCTAAGGTTTCTGGCATAGTACATACTTTTCCAAAACAAGCTGCAAAAAATGTTATGATGGATTCAAAATTTTATTTGCCAATAACTAAAAAAGTACAATTTTTTTTATTGATAACACCCATATTTATTTGAAAGCTTCCTGAATTCCCTACAAAATAAAAAAAAAAAAATGTCATCGAAATAGATAAGAATTATCTCCAAAATAAAACAATTTGTAGCTGCTGTAAGAGTAAAGTGGGTTAAAATGTTTTTTTAAGGAGAAGCAAAGTTGAGATTTGTATTTCGCACCTCGTTAAACCCTCAAATACCAATTTTTACTGGAATCGAAAAATAATTCTGATAGATGAATTAAAAATATGAAATTGCTAATAACTAAAAAAGTACATTTTTTATTGATAATGACCATATTTATTTGAAAGCTTCCTGAATTCCTTACAAAATAAAAATAAAAATTGGACAAGATATAGAGTTTTAAACATTTATTACTGTTTCTTCAGCAACGGCCATTTCCTTTCCGTTTTTTTGGTTATCGATTCATTGAAAATTTTATAATTACTGAAGTAATTGAAATTAACATTTGAAGGAGTGATATGATTCTCTTTATGTAGGTCAGTACTATTATATCCTCTTTAAATTCAAATTTATATTTTCCCCAAATGTATTTGCGGGAAGTAGTATGATACACCTTAAATATTTGACATGCTATTATTTAAAAATATTGAACCCTTGAGTAATAATTATCACCTTTTTATGTTCTTGATTCCTTTTAGAAATCAGTTTTTTATCGATTTTAGTTTATTTTATTTTTTAACAAATTATTTTCTTTAACATTACATTTGAATGTTAACGACTGTGCCATTTGCAGTAAGGTTTATTTTCCACTACAGTTTTTATTACTCTATATTTAATCAAGTTGTTGTTAAGAAAAAATGGACAATGAAATATCTTAGGAGGGGTATGCAAAATCTTTTGAAGGAGATGGGAGGCAGCTCCAATGTACACGAAACGAACGCTATGGTAAGCGATATAGCACAATTGCAACATTTGATATTTGAAAGTCTTTAACATTGAAACAGTATCTTAAAATATTTTGAACAGCATGTGTTACTTTTACATACAACTAATAGTGTGTTTTTAATAAATATACATAGTTTTACCTTATATTTTATAATAGTAGGTATATAAAACCACACGCGTATTTGAATACAGCTTTAAGCTAAAATTTCAAGGCACTCAGTGAAGAACTTTTCGAGATTTAAGATTTTGAACAAACAAACATTTTTCATTTTTATTTACCGTAAAATAACCAAAAGTTGAACATTAAACAATACATTAAATTTAAAAAAATATTAATAATAAAATTAATGAGTGGCTTTCTATCAAAGACGGATCTCTCTGTCATTTTCAGAAAGCAGAGAAAAAGTCCATTTTTGTTTATGGGTTCAATTCAAACTGTTTCTGATGATTTTATGTAAGGATATTCCCGTTGAATCTGGAAAAAAAATTCATTAGAATTAGTTTAAATTTAAGATTAATTAATGTTCCAAACAAATTTTTTTTCTTAACTTTTTAAAAATGACAGATGTCCTTTGATATTAAGCCACTCGTATGTGTTTTCTATTTTTTTTCTTATCCATTTCGCCAAACTGAGCCACAGCTGTGCTTGGCTTGGTAAAGCTAGTTATTGATACTTGTAACTTAAACTTGATAAAATGAGCATTTAGGAATTTCAAACTTGGCGCGCTTTCAAAGCAATTAATCAGCCTTTGAAAGGGTGTCAAGTTTGAAATCCTACATGAACCTAAGTTAAAAGTGTCAATGATTGGTGTATTTACTCTATATTATTGACTTGTTAATTCATGTTTCCATGCTAATATTTTCAAATTTTATATGCATTGATTAATATGATTATGAAATATGCATATAATAAGGTAAAAACTAGAAGATAGTTTTAGATTGATCAAATCAACTAATTAATTATATAAGTATAATAATAAACTGATTTACTATTTTTTCTCATCCTTCTTTTCTTCCTGCTTTTTTGCACTTTCTGGCGAAAGTCTGTTTTTGGATTTAGCGCTACTGTAACATTGAAGTAAGTTTAAAACAGCAACCTTTGTTTAAAAAGAAAACTTATTTACTTAATTTTTTTTTTAATGGTAATATTTACAAAATTTAGGTACATTGATTGAATGATCAGATGATGAAATAGACATACAATGGCATAGAATATTGAAATTGGAATTTAGTTCTATATTAATCATGAATATATAATAAATTATAACAGAATATAAATAAATTGAATTTACGATTCCCTTCCTTCTTTCCTTTTTGCACTATCGGATGATAGTGTGTTTTTTTTTTATTGAGGGCTTCTGTAACGAGTTAAGTTTAATGCCATTATTGCTAAGCTAATATTTATAAGATTTAGATGATAAAATAGACTTATATAACAATATTGAAGCTGAAATGTTCTAAATCAATCAAGAACAACTAATTAATTATAAAAATCTGAGAATAAATTGAATTACATTACTCTTTCTTCCTTCTTTTCTTCTTTTATTTTTACACTGTCAGGTGAGAGATTGCTTTTTGATCGTGCAATACTGTAAAACCAAGTTAAGTTTAAAGTATAATGTTTGTTTAAAAAAAACATTTTAACTTTCAATTTAATTTTGTTTGCTAATATTTTTAAGAATGAATTGATTTGTTGATCAAATAAATAGATTATAGGGTTTTGGGATTGAATTGTTCACAATACTAGAAATCAAATAACAAAATTGAGATTACTTGAAACCAGAATATAATTTTGAATTAATCAAGAATAACTAATGTATTTTATAAAAACATAAGAATAAATATCATTACCTTGGTCTTCCTTCTTTATTTTTTGTACTACCAGCTATGTTTTTGTGGTGAAGGCTACTGCAACATAAGTTTAAATAAAATAGGACAAATTTTGCTTGAAAAATTTGTAAGTTTATTTAATTTTTATATGCTAATATTTAAAATTAAACGTGGTTGAGATTTTAAGATTCAAAATTATTAATGATGACACTGAACTCAAACTAAGTTACATGCTGATAGCTGGGATTGTCAATGTATATAATATTCCATACATTTTTTAAGTGAAATTCAACCACACTGTCTCACTTATATCCTGTTTTGTTTTTTTTAAAGATAGCATACCCCTTACATTTAACATCTCAGTTTTCTTTCATTATGCTTCCATATACGTGTACAAGTGATCCTTATTGTGGAGTCCTAATAAAAAGAGAAGTTTCTGAAGCCTTCAAAGTTTGAACTAGCCTTAGATAAGAAGATGGATTATCACCTATATTGTTCAACTTGGAACTGAAGAAGATGATAAGAAAGACATCACATGAAAATGGAGGGATGCAGGTTGGAATTATCAAAAATCCTTTGATATAGCTGTTTTTGGAAGCAACCAATAGGATATTGAGAAACTCACTAAGGCTATGATAAGAAAAGCAGATCAAATCAGCCTACAAATAGATGAAGATAAAACAAAATATATGATCAGTGAAAATTTCACTCCTGCAACAGGATTTGCATAGAAGGGAAATTGTTTTCGACAGCATACTAAAAACATTAAATAAAAACTATGGTATTACAAAGAATAATCAAAAACGAAATAATTTGAAAAAAAATGTTAACATTAATTTATTTACAATATTTAATATAGAATATTGAATAGAAAAGGTTTCTTTTCTATTTCAAAGTTATTGAAATTCCGAAAAATATCGATAAATCTTAAATTAAGGTTGTACAGTGAGATGATAAAGCCAGAAACCCTGCGGTATTGCCTGTGCCTTGTAGGCAATACCAGTGTCTGCAGCAGTAAGATGTTAGGCAGGTCAGCTTAACACCTCACTGCTACAAGTAGATCTTCGTCTTCTGCTCTTTCTTGGTTTCATTGGTTTTCTTCAGTGAATTTCTTGTCCTTTTCATGCCTATGGTCTAGTAGCTCCTCCTCTTCTTAGATTGAAATGGGCTGGCCCCATCGCGGCTTTCCACCCGTACACAAAATCTTTGTAGTTCGGGTAGTTTTCCGCAGTGACTAACTGACGAAAATCGTTCTCTGTGAGAATATAGAAACAGGTTCCCCTCAGTAACTTGGCCCTTAGTTCTTCAAAGGCGGTGCAGTCGACTATGATGTGCCCAGCAGTCTCCGGAACACCGTAGCTTATAGGCATAGGAGATCGATGTCCATCCCATGGCAATGAAGCTTAGCTCGAAAGCCCCCATGGCCTGTGAGAAATTGCGAGAGCCAATAGTCCGGGAGGATCCACTTTGCTTCATAACGTGCCCGGACGGTGGGGAAGTACTTCCTCAAGGTAGATCCTTTTGGAATTATCACCCACCTCCGGTTCCATTCTTCCATTGTGTCCTCCCGTATAATGTATTTCCACCTTAAGGTTTCCCGGCAGACCTGCTGAGCCGTTTTTCTTAAAGGTGTGTTTCATCATGTCTTCACGCAGGAGGAGGTCGAGAGATAGCTCTCCTGCTAATAGCTGCGCCGCCTCATAGGATACGCTCAATATGCCCTGGTGACCCGCAGCAAAGCCGTTCCTTGTATTGTCGCCAACTTACTCTTCTATCGGTGCGAGAGGTTCTGGCTCCAGGCACAACTTAATACCTGTCTGAGATGGTAATTTTTCTTATAGGTATACATTGTATATTGCATATGGCCATATTGAATATATTCCAAACAATATCCCCTCCCTCCCATGCCCCCACCCCGTGATCCTGTAGTTTAGCCTCCAATAATTTTCATAAGTCGGCGCTTATGGATTATACCACTATAATATTATGTATTGAGAGCTCGGCAAAGCTTTTAAATAAAAGTTTCTTTCATGATATTAAGCTACATTTAGTGCTGAACCACAATACACCTCGCAAGCACAATAGTTGACGTGCGTTAAGGAATTTTCGTTAAAGATATTTCGTTGTGTCTCAAAGTTCATTTTATAATCGTTTAGGTCTCATGTATTAGAAACCTAAACGAACGACATTGTAAACTAAAGCTCAAACAAAAAATTCGCTTTTATGATTTTTCTCGCGGAAAGCTTCGTTCTGACTGGAATTAAAAAAACAAAATTTCAATATGTAAAGATTTTACTGACGAAGATCCTCTTCAGGAATTCTTTATGTTTCAGCCGAAATGAAATTGATTTGGCTTGTCTAAAGCTTCAATTGTGGTCTAAAACTGTAATAGAATCACAAACTCTCTACCCAAGGTGCAACATAGACATGATGGTTTTGAACCTAATATAATCTAGATATTTAATTTTGTTAACACATCTTAATACGTATAGAGAGGAATGAGGAATCTGTTTTAACTGTTTAATAAACCGTTTTCTAGAATGAAGAGATTATAAAAAATAAATAAATCCTTAAACAATTGTATATCATTTATCTGATTTTATCGATATATACACATTAATACTATCTCTTACACATCTTTTAACAGTGCTTCTTCTTTTGTGTCGTCCTCAGTTTCATCTTCACTCTTTTCTACTTTTATAGTAGGAGACCTTAAAAAAGAAAAGAAAAATACGTTAAGACAACAATCGTAACTATCACGCACACATTTTTAAAGTAGATAATTTAATAAACTTACTTGGATGTTCTGCCAGTTTTCGATTTCTGCTTCTCCACTTGTTTGTTCTTATCTTTTTTCTTTGAGTTTTGCACTTTGTTTTTGGATCCTTTAACTTCCTCAGGTTCTCTGTAATATGTATCATAAAAAAACCATTGTAACAAAGTTAAAGACTAATATTTATATTCGGTTGTTGGGTCAGGAGTTCTCGTTCCTTTAGTTCTAACCTAAATCTTCACTTTCGCTGTTAATTAACTATTCACGAGATATGGTAAGGAAGATTGGCTATAATACTCTTGGCGTCGTGGTCTTCAACTCAGTTTGGTTTACATTAAATCAACATTAACCTCTGACCCAACAACCAGCTCTTTATTTTTACCTCAGTATTTTTATTTGAATAACAGAGTTTTTCTTTTATTTTAAATATTTTCTTAATACGTTTTTCCATTATTCGTTACTGGACGCATATATGACTTGAAATATGAACCCATTAGCCTAAACACGTATTTCCACCACGAACCCTTACATCCCACCTCTAGTACTTATGAGGTGGTGGCCAAGAGATTTACTAATTTAATCTCTACCTATATGTAATGTGCAATTGCAATACTTTGCAGATGACAAATTTTAAGCTTAAGAAACTTATGAATTGGTTTAAATTAAATTATAGAATTTGTAATATTATTATGAACTAATTATCATTTTTATAAACTCAATTTAGCGATTCTAGTCATTGATAGTAATTAAAGTAATTAGGATACTCTTCATTTGTAACCGTATAAAACAAGTAGTCAAGAGTGAGGATGTTATAGAAATTAAAGTAGACACGTAAAAAAATAGGATTTACACTTTGACTGATTCATCTTAAAAATATTAACAAAACAACACCTCTTGTTCAAAAATCGTATCTTACACCTATGAATTGGCCAATGTATTATCTTCTTTTAAAATTGAAATGAACAAGCACAAGTACTTTTTATTTCATAACAATTTTTAATATCTGATTAAATAAAAAAAAAAAAGTAGTTTCTTGAAACAAGCTGCTCTAAGGTTTTCAAAGTAAATACAATTTCTCTTTAGGTTGTTTTATTGTTGTCTTTAGGTTTCAAATTAACACTCAAAAGAGAGGTACTGGATTTGGACCTGAAACAAAAGCATTTGCTAGTTTCTATGGTGGAGTAATAATTTCTTTTATGTTAGTAAAGAATTAACATAATGAACCAAGAATAATACAATAATAAAAATAATTCTTTTCAATAATTAGCAAGCATCTTGTACAGAAACTATTTTCTTCATTCAATCTGTACTAATAAAGGAAATAATGTATACTAATGACTTGATAAAATTGATATTTGAAAATTAATGAGATTTTTCTAATAATTTTGTTTTCAATTTAGAGAAAATAATTATTCTAATCATGTTTTCTTTAAGATATAGTTGAATTGGTGAACTCACTTCGAAGGTTCCTTTTTGACATTTTTCCCTGTTCCCTTCGATTTTTTATTCTCATCATTTTTTCTTTTATCTTCTTCCTCGTCCTCCTCATCGTATATATGAGTATCACTGTAATATATATTACAAACATATATATACATATATATATATGTGTATATATATATATATATATATATATATATATATATATATATATATATACACATTGTAAACACATACTTGTATACACTTATACAATATATCTTAAGGTAATGTGAAAAAATTAACAAATAAATACAATAAATATAACAAATACTGTAAAAAAAATCAGACTACCACAGACCTTAGAACAGAACATTACAATTATTCTGACTAAAGCTGGCAGTTTCAGATTACATATTTTACGAGCTTAGATGCAAGATTATTTTCAGAAAATCTGAATGATAGTAAACGAGAAATAAATCAATCTTCGCCAATGCCGATGTCATGATAAAAAAAAAAAAAAAAATCGCATATAATTATTTCGAGATTTGTTGAAATTTTTGCGTTTAAATTTTTTTTGTTTATGCAATATATAGGAAGCCAGTATTTTATTTGACAGTTATATCTAATAGAAATGTTTTTAATTGCCTGAGGCGTTGAATGCAACTACGATTTTACCGTGTCATTAATCAGTAGTTTGAAGTTTATGTTCTGGTTACTTTTTAATATTTTGTTATAAAAATTTAGATTTGATATAAAAATAGCTTCCTTAAAAATTGAAAGAAAAATCTAGGTCATAAAATAAAAAATACACGGTTTATTCCGTCTTATAAATATTTTTATTTATTACACTTACCAGCTTTTGCAATATGGCTGTCGATATACCCCATTCACGGACAGATTTTTTTTAATGTATATTGAACCAACCATTACATTTGTCGAATACATGGTACTTAACACTTACCATCGTATCTTCTGCCGAAATCAATTTTTAAATTCTCTGCCACTTTCAATGCTTACTAAAACAGCAGCAATAATGTTCACCAAACGAAGACCTACCATAGCAAATCATATTACACTCAACGAAACTAGAATTCCCTGGGCTCAATCCGTTAACTATCTTGGATTGCAATCAGATAATAGATTAACATCTCATATCTCATATCAACAACAAATGCGGTAAAGGTAAAAAAAACTATGTAAAACGGCTCCCTTCTTTCGAAAAGAATCTTCTCATTCAACAAAAAACAAAATTATTTGATAGAAATTGGTTATATGCCCTTTAATAACATATGCTTGCCCAGTATGGAGTTACTCAGGTGAAGCTATAAAAAAATAGAAAGGATACAAAATCTGTGCATGAAAATCATAAAGGATTATCACGGAAACCGAAGAATTGCTAACATGTTAAACGATTTGGAATTTCAGACAGTGAAACAATTCATATACTCCCATACCGAGAACTTTTTCAACAAATACTTCAGTAAACTCCATAATTAAAGCAATAGGCAATTACAATAAAAAAAGTTTAAGAAGATACAAACATAGACGTACAAAACGTATTTTATTTGAATAAAAACTGTACAAGACCTTGCATTAATTAACATAAACTATGTTACAAGGATTCCTCTGCTGCAAATGTGCCCGAGAGTCAGAAACTCCAGCTCATGTGTTCGACAATAGTCCGCATAATATGTTCATAGTCACCTGCCGGCACAATAATATAAATCATCGTGTAGCCGAATTCCTTGAAATGAAGAGCTATAAATGTCTCCTCGAAGTTGATTGCCTGGATACAGAAGACTCAAGAAGGTCCATTGACATCTTGGCGTTCAATGTGACAAAAAAGGAGACACTCATAGTGAGGAGGCATCCCGCGATAAGATTTGAAACCAATGATCAGGATCAGGACCTCAAGATACAGGCAGAGAAAGAGGAAATTTGAAGAGGAAAAATCCCTCTTAATACAAGTAATCTCTTGTAGAGGCTTGGTATTCGAAGAGAGGAGACTATGACACAAACAATTATTTTAGTCTCGTTGGGAATCCTCCCTCACCACATATATTGATCTTGGCCTTCGCTTATTTGATTCTGTAAACCGTTCTTGGCATGTCTGATATGTATTCCAATGGACCGACCTAACCCTCTCTTATATTGGGTCTTGAGTCGTTTCGGTTTTTATGTTTATTTTTATGTCACTATGATACACTTCTTATCTAATGTATTAATCCCTAAGGTGGATTGGTTACCCTCTTTGTAATATGTCAACAAATATATCTGTTGACTCTTGTTCAAACTAGCTTAGTATTGTGTTTGCTATTGCACTGTGAATATGGAAGAAAATATCATTCATTATCGGCATATTTTTTTGTATTATTTTAAAAAAGGTAAGCGTGCTGCAGGAGCACATAGAAAAATTTGCAGTATTTATGGGAATGATGCCTTAACCAAACGCACTTGTAAAAATTGGTTTGCCAAATTTCATTCAGGAAATTTTGACATCAATGATGGTTAACGGTCTGGACGCACACATGAAAATGAAACGAGAAATGTTAAGACCATTGTTGATCAAAATCCCACCCAATCAGTGCGATAGTTTGCAATGTTTTTCTGAATGTTTCGCACACAAGGATAGACAACCATTTACACAAGCTCGGCTACGTTTCCAGGCTTAATGTTTGGGTCCCTCACTAGCCGAAGTCAACTTGGCAACGCACATTTCTGTTTGTGGTTCACTACGGAAACGGCAACAAAACAACCCATTTTTGAAAAGGTTGGTAACAGGAGATGAATATTTTACGATAATGTAGTCCGTAGAAAATCTTTTAAGAGTGTTATTTTCAATGAGCTATTGCCAATCAGGGCAAACAATCGATTCAACTCTATACTGCTCACAATTAACAAAATTTGATCAATCAATTAAAAATAAACTCCCAGTACCAGCAAATCGGAAGGGTGTTGTGTTTCACCAAGACAACGCTAGGACCCACACCTCATTGATCAATCGCAATAAATTATTGAGCCTTGGATAGGACCTTTTGCCCCACCGTCCCTATTCACCAGTCCTAGTTCCAAGTTTTTTTTTTTTTAATTTATTTAGACATATAATATTCTGTCACAGGGACAATAATTATATTGATAAATGAACACATTCACACCGTATATACAAAAAAATAAAATAAAATTAACAAAGTAAAAAAAATAACTAAATAATAATAAATAAAAACTATATACAATAAAAAAAATAAAATAACCTAAATATAAGTAAATTAAAAACATAAAAATACAATAATACCTATATACAATATATACAATCAGGCGGGGAACCCAAATCTCTGCGCTAGTCTCTCAACCTCCTCAACGGTGCTAAAGCCGGTGGAGTTTGAGCGAGAGCGCTTTAGCCACATACACTCATGTCTTGAGTGGAGAATCTGGTCATTGCCAGAACTCCAAAATAAATACTATTAAAGATCTCAGGGCCACTGCCGCTTCAACCTTCGAGGAGGGTTGTAGGGATGAGTGGAACTAGATAGGGATTGGGCTAGGGGATTTGGATGATTGATAAGGTTATGATGGAATTTTGAAAATTTTTCAGGGAGAAGGTCAAGGACAAATGGGATATTAAAGTCATGATGTAGGGTTTTGTTGGTTACATAGAACGGAGCATCGACTATTGTTCGGAGGACTTTGGATTGAAAGGATTGGATGCGTTTGATGTTAGAGAACTTTGCTGTCCCCCAAAGTTCAAGTCCGTAGGTCCAAATGGGTTTCAGGATTGTCTTGTAGATCAGTGATTTGTTGTCAATTGAAAGTAGTTCCAAGTTAATACCACTTATTCCGGTCTCTGTAGAACTCCATGGATGGAAACGAATTCCAAAAGGAAGAGGACAAAAACCACTTGGATCAGTTTTTTAACAATAAACACCAGATATTCTATGAACATGGGATTATGTAGTTAGTGGAAAAATGGAAAAAAGTCATATTAAATAATGGTCAATATATTGTAGATTAAAATAAATTTTAGGTCTATAGTACATTGAGTTTTATTTCACCCCGAAAAACCGAAAGGACTTATTTGCCAACCCAAAATTTTTATACAGTATTATCTATTGATTGGTGAATATGCTGTGTTATTTAGCACCTAAACACAGTTAATAGCCATGCAATGTTGTATTTCTTCTTTTATTTAAATGTATTTAGTTTTTATTTTATTATTATTGTTTACTTTATTTATATACTAATTTTTATTTACATTATTATTATTTAGTTTTTATGTAGTAGTTTTTATAATTGTTCTGACTGTTAAATAACAAAGAATGGTACTAAAGTTTATAATTTTAAGATTAAATCTAGTGTGAAATATTGTACAACAAAACACGACCGATTTTTATGTACATTTTATAAATTCTAAATGTCATTTAAACTTATTAACTTATTTAACTTATTATTGTTATTACAATGCTTAGTCAATGCAGGTCAACGCCTGCTCTAGCAGTAGCTAGTAGCCCTCGCAACCGTTCGGTGTAGCGGGTACAGTATAGCCTATAGCGCCTGTAGATACCCCATAGCCGAAAATAGAAAATAATTTTATTACAATTATTGCTGCGGGACAATTTTTATATTTTGTTCCTTGATAATTAGAGGGAAATACACAAATAAATATTAATTTTTGTATTTTTCCAAATGATTCTATCTTCTCCATTAGAATGAAATAAAAATAATCTACTGTACTTAATTTAGTATTTCAGTCAGTTCTCTTTCCCGTCATTCACGATCGATGGGATTAGAAAAACGAGATGTAAAAAAAAAGTAAATGCCACGAAGAAGAACCTAATTCCAATTTCGATCCTTAAATTTGAACAATAACTATAATAAAAGTGATTGCAAAGTGTTTTTTGAACTGAAAACTTCTTTAGGCGCGTTTCGCACTGCTTTGTGGAGAGTGAATTAGATTGACCCGTCAAATTTCCGATGTGTGAGGCTCGGGTAAAGTCGGCTGGAGTCGACTGATTGAACTGTTTTTGTATATGGATTAAAATATCTCAAAAACTAAAAATCGGACCTGCATACGCGAAGGAATTGTTTAATAATAACGCATAACGCAACGCCGTGTTAGAGGCGTAAAGGGAAAAATTAGTTTAGAAAAC